AGCTTGTCAAAATAAGAAAATCTATGATGTAATATTACTGTATATATTTAACCAGTCAATTATAATTATTATAATTACTTTAATTCTATCATAAACTTGTGTCCTTGACAAACATGACATCTTATGCAAAGAGTCTGGGTGGGTGCATGGGTGGGGGGAACAACTGTCTAAAAAAAAAAAAAAAAACAATCTTATCACAGTTTACTGTAAATACACTAACAATGATGTTTTAATTATTTCTAGCTGCCTGGCGTTGTTGGCAGTCTGTATTTTTTTTTTTTTTTTTTTTTTGCTTGTTTGTTAGTTTTCCTAGTTGTAACTATATGGACAAATTAATACTAGCAATTTTTTCTATAGTATACTATCTTTGTCTGAATTAATCACCTCCTTAGTATTCTTACCTTACTCACAATCCTGGTAATTTAATATGGTGTGTGTATAATCTGTCTTCATGACTCAACACCAGATTTGATTTGTTCTAGGTAATAATCTTACTTCCTGAATGTGTTTCTACAGGCCTTACACAAAGCTGCACTAGTTCTTCAGTTTCTTTTTGACTAAAACAATTATTTGTCCGCAGTGCTTTGTTGAAGCTTTTTTGTAATTATTCAAGACAGTATGTGTTACTTCCGACAATTGCTAAATGTATTTCAAACCACTTATTCCCAGCAATTCATTGTGTTAAACTTTTTCCTATGGTTTCTATTGACTTAAGCCTTATCATCTTCCATTATGATAAAACTAGTTTTAAGTCTTATGCTTTACACTAAATTTACTTTGTTGCATTTTCAACAAAGCAGTAACAAAGAAAATAATTAATTTATGTTTGTCATGAAGCCTACAGTCTGGCTCTGCCTTACTTCCCCATTACATGATTCCTAACAGAAACACTCCAAAACAATCAAGTCAATATTACTTCCTGAATTCTGCTAGTTTCCAAGGCATCTCCACGTTAAATTAGTTGCTAATGCCAAGTTACCACTTCAGACTTAGGTGTGAATTAGGGGGTGTGTAATAATTAACTGGTGTGAGATGAGAAACACTTTGTATGTAATAGCATATATATAGAATACCACAGTGTATTTTTTCTTTCCTATGTACTTTGTTATATCATGTGTCATATCACTGTGTTTCTGATCTGACAAATTGCAAGCTTCTTCATTTTCTAGTCTATATAATCAACAAAAATCATTTTACAGTTATAATAATCATAAATTAGCATTAAATGTCAAATTTATATTTATATGTAAATACTCACTCATCTACTAACAAACAATTTCTAGTATAAACATCAGAGACATAATATTGTTCCAAAATATATATATATATATATATATATATATATATTAAAGTTTAATATTTTCTCTGGTCTCTATAGCTGAGCGAGTTGGTTTCCATAGCAACAGTCTGTTATGTGTATAAAGTATGTCCACATTCCAGCTGTCTCAGTTAATCTGTGCAGCTAAATGCTTTATCTGATGTTATCACATCAAGTATTTAGAGATAGCTCATTACTGTAGTCCCAAAACATTCCGTTATATTCACCAGTCATGCTAATTATGGTTTTGTTTGATTAAAAATATATAAGGTATATGCAATGATTCACAACGTAAATACTTGGCAGATGATCATGACACATGAAGAAGAGACACTATCAATGGATATAAAACACAATGTCTAATAGCAGGAGATGTAAAGCTGTATCAGTACCTCTTAAAGTGTCTATTTACTTAGCAAACACACAGTTAAAACAATATGACAAATACAAAATCTGATATAAAATTCACTTGAAACAAGAGCATCACAGACTGCAATGAATGAGCTAAATTCTAATACACACACACACACACACAAACATTATGGCCCTCTGGAGTTGAACCACCCTACAAGTAAGCCTCAAAAATTATGTACTGTAGCTTTCAGGTAAGCTACCCAAAGCAGTGATAAAGAAAAGAACCCACACTGAGTATATATATATATATATATATATATATATATATATATATATAAATGACTCTAGAAAAAGCTACTCTAGACTCTCAACAGTTTATCAATTAGAGAGAAATGCAGGTACATCTTAATCCATGTTTTATTGCGTGTGTAAAATTGTCACAATGAATAAATAAATAAATACAGTCTTAACTTACCTCAGTGCTAGAACTATTCCTAGAGACCAAATCTCTCCACACAGTCACAGTCACCAATACAGGTAATCCAGGTAAATCCAGGTATCACAGGTATATAACCTAGAACACAGGTGTAAGTAGATAAGGTCAGGTGCATTATATGCATGTTTAATAATCCTCTTTGACAGTGGTAAGCTCATTATAATAATCCCATATAACATGGAAGTAAATATAAAATTGAAAGCCTGTATTGTATTAAATATTACCCTCAGGAGGACATGAATTTTATGGCTCTTGGTGTTCTGTTAAATGCGCTGAAAATAAAAAGGTCTCAGTAAAAAAAACTGAAGAAGATGAAATTCATTCATGAATTAAAAAAAAAGGTCCATTTTAAAAGCCTTCCCTCCTTTCTTAGAAATTGCTAGGTTATTTGTCATTTCTCAAAATTGGATCAACTACACCTTATAAAACTTATATATTTAACTATAAGAAGGTAAAATTAAAAGGGTAAAAATATCCATTTATTCAGAAAAAGCCCCCTCTCCCCTTAATAATTGCTAGATACAGGTTAAAATGCTGCGTAGTTCCTCGAGTTGGGTCATCAAGACAGTAAAAGGGTCCCCTTTTTCAGACCCCCCCCCCCCTCTTTTAAAATTGCTGGCCATAGACCTGACTAGCACATATAAGGCACACAGTTATGCCATTAAATGTGAGAGACGTGTCTTTGTATAACTTAACAGGTGATAATTACCTGGTTTGGCAGGTACTTTGTCACCTGGACAATTTTCAATTAAACTCCAGTCCTCATTTTCACTCAGGCAAATTATATAATTGATTCAGTGTACTCTGTTTACCTGTGACCACCAACTTAAATATTAGCATTAATTGGGTTTTTTTACTTATCATTTAACAATGTGTTAATTTAAATTATATATATACTTATTTCAAATGATGTGTCTGCACAATATATGTACCTATTTTATATGTTCATCTTTTCATTTATACACTGTTTGTTGTATCACAGACATAATGATAAATATGAACTCTAGTGAAGCTTCACGCAAGTTTTAAAAACAATAAACAAAATAAAATAGGGCCTACATGCAGACCTTAAAACATGACAGAAAACATGATCTAAAAAAAGAAAAAGAAAGGCACTGAATATCGATCCCAGTGGCAATTAACAACCATCTTGTGCACCTTCTCACATTCATGTCACAGACAAGCTTTTATCAGATAACTAAAACTTGAACGACTGAAGGCCTTAAAGAAGCCGAACCCAATGCTGATCACCATATCAGGTACACCGAGATTGAATCAAGTAGACGTAATTGAAAAATGCACTTAAAAAGGACTTAACATTACGTTATTGTGTATCACACCTTCTTATCTTGGCTGTCAATCAATGAGTATTTGGGTGTTTTAAGTGTGACGGAGTCCAGGTTTGTAAGGAGTTCAGATTGCACCTCCATATCTTGTGTGTTGATCTCGTAACACACAACTGTGTTTGCATGTGCACGTTTTATGGGTGATAAAGAGAGGAATGTTGAAGCATGTAAGAATTGCTTTGTGCTCTGTGATGCATGTATAAACATTTATGTATACATTCTGTGCATATATATCAACCCATTATGATTTGGCAATTAACCTTATTTTCGGTACATATAGTGTAGTGATAACCTTGTAAAACATGTCATTTTATATGCAGTGTGGAAAACAAGCATGCAATTAATTTAAATTGCAAAACTGGGGGGGGGGGGATTTTTATATTATTCCTTGCCCCCCTCCTCGTCCTCTCTCTCTCACACACACACACACACAAGCACACACGCAGTCAAATCTTCAATTTCCCCAATAAGACTTACGGTACTTATTAATGGGTATAAAAACTAGGGACACCAAGTAAAAATCGGTGCGTTGAATTTGGCGCAGTCAGAGATTCGATCGTGAAACCTACACGAACCCGAGCTACTGCTGTGTTTACAAAATGAACCTTATCTTGCTTTCACTTACCACACATCCGTCTGGGAGTCGATCCCCTACATCCACCGGGGAGTGTTTCCAGCGATATTGCACCCCTTTGTGGCGGCTGTGTAAGGGAGAAATCTGACTCATGCCTTGACGAAGTATTGAGAAATATTGCACTCTATACACCAAGGCTTGAATCTATCTATTCTTCGTTAATCCATTCTTGTCGATTGCGTCTTTTCTGAATCAGCTGATTATCATTGCCAACACACACAACGGGGCACAAACAATGAATAAAACGTCCCTCTTACCTGTAGATCTACGTTACATATCCTTTCCAACACTAAGTCATCCTGTTCGTTTCCTGCACGAAGGAGGTTTTCCTTGGAAGTGCCTTTTCACCTGCCGAGAGATGCCGACTTGAATTTTCAAATTGATGGGAAACATGCATATGAGATCATATGACCTATTTACCTTTGACCCAATTTCTGTGACCCGGGTAGTAGTTCCGGTCGATGGGTCTTCTCACATGCTCAGATGATGATATTCACTTTCTTTTTTACCAAAAAGTCTATTGACGGCTTGTAATAATGGAAATTGACATTTCCAAAAATTACTGGAATTTAGTGTATGTGCTTATATCTATGGTTTGGTTAAACTTATTTCAAGTACTTTTTTAATCTTGAAATAAAATAATTAAAATAAAATTTATTATGATTTTTTTTGTTTTAATTTCTTATTCATTTTCTTGCATCAGGCTGATTTGAAGCACATTTTATCTTTTTGAGAATATATTTTATTATTGCTATTTCAGTTTTTTACCCAGTTTAGTTTTCAAAGCAACCTGTTATTTTATTTATAAATTATCTTTTTATGTACTGGTATTTATTCATCGTCTCTAACACGCTCTGCAATCACAATTCAACGTGAAACAAAATTTTGACCATTTCAGAGTGATATTCGCCATAGCGTTCACGGGATTGGCCGTGGGTCAAGCGGCCAGTTTCCTCCCGGACTACTCCAAGGCCCGCCTGGCCACCGGGAGAATTTATAAACTAATGGACGTCAGACCCTCCATTGATAGTTACTCTAAGAAAGGAACGAGACTGGTACTTATGGATTAAATTATCGTCTACACCTTTATACCTATGCGCACACTTTTTTTAATCAATTGTTATAAAGAGTAATGCCGGTTGACCACATATGGGCATTTTAGTATTGGTTTGAGATATTAAAGATTTACTAGGTAGAGGTAACTTAGAAGAAAACGTTGTCGTGTTTCTTTATGAATGGGTACTGTATTTCTGAGATGATATTTTCCCACCAAAGTAAGCTTCGTTAAATCTAAAACAATGATCATTCTTTTATTTGATGGACGCAGGTGATTTTATTTTGAAATCCAAAACAAATAATTGATTTTTTAATCCAGAGCATCGGACCCCAAAACTGCCCGCGAGAAATAATAAGTGTATTATTATTTGTTCCTCATGACACGCGATAATATTCCAGAATTAAATAAAGTCAAAGGCTGATTTGCATTTAGCCAAGATAAAATCAGGATAATAAGAATGATTAGACTCTAATATTTCAACAAATTTGAACGTTTTTCAGGAGAGAGTGACAGGGGACATCACCATCAAAAATTTAGAGTTCACGTACCCCAGTCGTGCGAACGTGAAAGTGCTGAAGGGTGTCAGTCTACAGGTCCATCGAGGTCAGACGATTGCGTTAGTTGGGCAGAGCGGCTGTGGGAAGAGCACAATAATGTCCCTACTGCAGAGGTTCTATGATTCTGACGCAGGAAGTATTGTAAGTAGTTTTCACAACTTTTAATGGTCAATCGCTGTTGAAGAACAATACATATTTTTTTTATTTTAAATTTATTTTATTTATCTAATAATAAAGTTTCCTTTTCCTAAGGTTCAATTTTATCTAGATACTAATTTCAACTTCGTGTAGGGTCTATAATTTAACTTGTGACTTAAAATAATTGTGTCGTAATTCTAGGAAGGAAGAAAAAATGGTCCATTGACTTGAATATGTATCTTTCATAGGCATGGTCATAGAAAAGAAAAACAAGTTTATGGTTTCGAATATAAACTTCTTAAGCAAAAAGCTGGTTTTGTGAAAAGATAAATGAAGATGTGATGGTGACTGAAAGAGAGGAAAGTGGTTGCTATAGTTGTGATGAATATTAAAATATAATACCAACTACCGCAGCTTATGCGCATCAATGCCAATTATCGGATAATAGTAGTCCCTGCTGGACATCATTTATCTAACGTCAGCAGAGTGGCGCAGTGGAAGCGTGCGGGGCCCATAACCCCGAGGTCCTAGGATCGAAACCTAGCTCTGCTAGAGAACACCTTTTTGTATCCCTTTGTTTTGAAAAGCTTGTTTTTCAAATACAAAAAGAATAGATAGTTGCCTTTATTGTGGATGCTATTAGAAAAGGCATGGAAAGTTAGTTCAATGATACGGTGAACTCTTGCCCTTTTCAGTGCAACAAACTCTTCACCAATTTCTATATAATTTCTCTTTCTCTATGATATTCTCTTAAATTGTTCATTCAATCAGACTTACTATAAAAATGATCCACTTTCAGAGTATAGATGGTGTAGATATCCGCTCCATGAACATCAATTTTCTGCGTTCCTGTATCAGCGTCGTGAGCCAGGAGCCGGTGCTATTTAACTGTAATATACGGGACAATATAGCCTACGGCGTGGAGAGAGACGTAGGTAAGAGTCGAATTAAGAGATGGAAAAAAATCACCCAATTTAAATTACTTGTTTTAAAGTTCTTGTTCTTTTTTTTTTATTTCGTGTTCGTCTTTTTTATATATTTTATTAAATATCGCGTTTGGAGGTGAATTTATTCATTTTAAGATGACTTCCAAATTTTAGCGTAAAATTGGTTGCTGATATGTAGCGTAAGTTTTGGACCCATTAAAGATATATTACGTGGGTCCGAGCGCAAAGCGAAGTTTATATCGTAAACGTATACTTTCGTCGAAAAGCCCAAAATTTAATGCAATGTTAAATAGGTCCTCAACCAAAACTTGCGCGTCGTTTCTTTGTCGGCAAGTAAATTAAACTGGCCTAAACGCGTACGTGATTAAAACAGGGATTATGTGACATGTAAGTGAAATGTCATCACACGTGCCTTTTTTTTCATTGCAGAAATGTCGGAGATAATAGAAGTAGCGAGAACTGCTAACATCCATGATTTCATCACATCATTACCTCAGGTAAGGTCACGCCCATATCTAGTATCGCCCGGGCAGATATAAATAGCAAAAAAAAAAAAAAAAAGAAGGGAAAAATAACCTTGTCATATTTAAGGCTGTTTTTAAAACATGATTTTTGAAATGCATTCTTTGTTGTTTTGCGATTTAAATCAAACCTTTTATAATCAAAATCGTGTAACTGTATCCCATCACTAGACAAAAGATTCGCACATTGATAACGCATGCAGCGGTTGGTTTTCCCATCCAGACCTGCGCCACTTTCGTTACAAGATTTAATTCCATGTAAATTCAGTGGACAGTTTTGATCGTTTCCCGGTCACCTCCATATTCTAGGGTTATGACACAGTGGTCGGTGAGAAAGGAACGCAGCTGTCCGGTGGTCAAAAACAGAGGGTAGCCATCGCACGTGCTTTGCTTTGCAATCCGGTCATCCTGCTCCTAGACGAGGCCACCTCGGCGCTGGATACCGAGAGTGAGAAGGTCAGTTGGCCACAAGCTAGACTCTTATTTTATTACTTAAGACTGGACGCGTTTTTTAGGTTCATATCAAAACGCATAGGTCATGCTCAGAGTCTACAGCGAGTCCATATCGTTGAAAGAACAGAAAAGTAAATGCTACAGAACATGATGCCGTATCATATGCATTTAACGGTAAAACGCACCTAAGCAGAGATCAGTGATTGAAGCAATCCTAAAATGCGTCGTAAAGCGTTTTCTGCCTGGTTTCTCCATCCTGCGTAATTTCAGCAGTGTATTCACGTTTTCCCCCAAGGTACATTTATTCCTCTCTGACACAAGTTGGCATTTTAAATCAACTGCTCATACATGTTATGTTTCTCCACTTTTGCTAAAATAAAAATCCTCCCCATTCCAGGTGGTCCAGGCGGCGTTAGACAGGGCCAGGGAGGGCCGGACATGTATAATGATCGCCCACCGCCTGTCCACTGTCCAGAACGCGGACATTATAGCCGTACTGGACAACGGGACAGTCGTGGAGCAGGGGTCACATCAGGAGCTACTGGCCAAGAAAGGGGCGTACCATACACTGGCCAGCGGTCAGTTGTCCCTGGTCTGAGTGACCACAGCGGGCACCTGTTGGATATTGGGCAGGAGGGGGTTTAGACTGCCTATAGGCTGTACAAACTATTTGTATTGTTTCGTGCTCAGTACTTCGAAGGGTTTCAAGTTACAGTTTGATTTTATTTATTATTTGATCATTTTGATGTGTATTTTGTTGTTGAAGGACAGTTAATTATTACTTTTGGGCGTTAGTGACCAATTTTTACATCCGTAAATTTTTTAAGAAATTATTTTATAAAATGTGGTCATATCATAAACAATAAGTTACAAGAGATCATGATTAATGACGGTGAATTAGTGAATAACGTAAAGAGGACATTGCGCATTTGAAAAAAGTATCAAAACTACGTCCGAAAATCTCTTTGTGTAGTGCAATAAAAAGTACTGTATGTTATCATATATTCCTGGATAACTACCCTTCCGATGCTTCAGTGGAAGTCTTTCATTATTATTGTTGGATCGGGCTCAGTTGGTACAAGTCAAGCAGAGCATTTTAAGAAAGAACAGCCCTAACAACTTGCTAGAAATGCATTATGGATTTATTTATAGGGATATATTTTGTTTCGCTTTTAAAAGAAAGCAGCACAAATCCAAATCAACAACGAATCGGTTAGACAATTTTCTAGCTTTTCACTTTTATTTAATACAACTGGTATTCCTTTATAAACAAAGAAAATGTACACGAGCATTTATAGAATCAATGCAGAATGTTCATTTTGTTTTGTATGAAATATTAAATAAATATCAATTTAAAAATGCAGACTTAAATTTTGGTGTAATATTCAGCCAGTGTCATCAGTGATGGTGACATCAAAGATGTACCAGCACATCGTTTAAGATACACACGTAGGTTTAAGGCCACAATTTGACCTTGACCTTTATTTCCCTAGGTCACCAGTTTGCTTGGTCCAACTAAACCACCAGATGTATAACACAGCTCTGAACTTTGCATATCCTTGTTTTTTAACTCACAAAAAAAGCACAAAATAGAGAAATGTGAAGAAACTGCTAGGTTCCACCATTTTCTCCAACATCAACATCAAGACCTCTCATCTTTCGTGGTTCTTGCAAGCATTTGTTCCCTCAGATCCTTCCTTTTTTGCTCAATTTTCTCTTTACGCCTCGCCATCAGAAACGTGTGTATCCTTTCAGTCAGGCTTAAGGCTTTCTTATAAAGCCATGTGTTTGTTAACCAGTACCTTTTAGTAGTTTTGTACATCCAGTCAGCAATTTCTTCTTCATCCATTTCCCTGGGGTATAAGTACTCTACAAAGGTGCCCTCGGGAGACATGAAGAAATAAAGGGAGGTGTGGTCCACCTGAAAATAATTGGAATGCTCTTTTAATATATAGGTGAAAACAAATACAATGATACTCCCATAAACAATGCCGAAACTGTTGAAAAAATATTAAAAAAACAGAAGGAATAATCAGATCAGAAAATGACTGGTATTTTTGGACATGAGAATTTCTTTGAAGCTTCAGAAATATGTTCATGGGTGTAACTCTCCATAAAAGACAGGCTGCTAACTTGTCTAACTATCAAAATAAGCCTGTCCAGTTAAGTATACCCCCCCCCCCCCAAGTATAGTGGACTTGTAACTCCCATGAAGTTTGATATAAAGTGTTCCATAAATAAATATTTTAATATACAGTTGAAACCCATGCATGATGCATGCCCACCTCCCCCCTAATAATTGCCAGGAAGTAATAATAATAATTTATAGGGCACAACTAAAATATTACAGGGATTTAAGGGACAATTCCCACAGATATTTGGATCGGTCTATCTCCCTGGGGAGTCTCACTAAATTGCTATCAAACTAACCAGCTTAAACGTCTGTCGCGCCTAGTAAAACTGTTAGGGGGTAATTATCTTTACCCCTAGCTGAAACAGTAGGCGTGAAAGACATTTAAGCTTCTTGAACTGATAGCAATTTAGCGTGAACCCCCAGGGAGTTAGGTCGATCCAGATGGATAGATCTAAATCTGTGGGAATGCAGTCTAAGTCTCCAACATAGAATGGTGATTACCAAGTAATTGTCAGCATCCAATATCAGACTTTTCTCACTGAAAACTTTGAACTTCTTGGTGATGTCATTTATGCTCTCATGGCTGCCCGTCAACCCGACCAGCCCCGGCCAGTCTGGAAATAATAACTAAAATATCAGTATGTATTATGTAAAAAAATTATATTTTTGATTTTTTTATGTTCTATTTTTTACTTGCTTCCAGACCTATTAGTCCTGGCCCATCTGTAATAAATGTTCACACTGTTTCATGAAAAATATATTTTCTACCTTGACAAATTTTTTTCAATAGGTAAACCTTGGCTAGTCTATAAGAAACAAAGGCTCCATTCAGATAGTCACATCATACTAGTTGGGTCGGTCCAACTCTGCGAGGGACTCTCATTTGCAATCAGCTTAATTGTCTGACACACCTCCTTGAGCAGCTAGAATATAATTACCTTTTAACAAGCTGCTCGAGGAGGCGTGTCATTCAGTTAAGCTAATTGCACTTAGCAGGAGTCTACGCAGAGTTGAAACAACCCAATTAGTATAAGTGATTCACTTTCTTGGTCTTCAAAGAAATGCCACACTTGAATTAAGTACTTCATTATAACCCTGTTGTGATGATGTTTTTAATTGTTTTTCTTGATGCCTTTTGTTAATAGTATTCCATAAAAACTTTTGTCTTGAGTTTTTTTAGTTCAGTCTGCCAATTTATATGACTGAACATTCAAATGATTATTAATAAATACTATGTGGCAGTTTAAATATTTAAATATGCTGTATCTAAGCCACATCATGCAAATTATCAATCATAAAGCTTTGCATTAAAAAAAATAAAATTAATAAATGAAATGTTATTGTTTTATTTTCAAGTTTCCATAACAGTTTCTTTGAGTGACAGCTAAAACTTGTAGTCATGACCAAACCACTGCAACACTGAGTTTAAGCCATTGTTTGAAGAAACCATTATTTTAATTTAGATTGATAAACATAGCTTTTAATTTTTTTTTTTGCTGGAAGAACTTGTTCACTTTCAAATCAGCCATTAGACAGGTGCCCTAACGACCTATTTAAACACCACATAATCCCCATTCATTAAGAGATCATCTTGGGGAGTGGCCAAAAAAAGTTGCTCTGCACACCACACACTAACCTTTCACATAGTTTTTCAAACGTTCCACATCGTCACGTGCGGGGTCCACACTTACAAATACGGGGACTACTGTGGGAGGACTAACCTTCTTCCCTGGAGGAAAAATGATATATTATAATAATATATATTTATAATAATATATTATTATTAAATATTATAATTAGGTTAAATAAACAGGATTTCTACAGTTAGACTGCCTACAGAAGATAGTAGAGCCCCCACCCCCCCGGCACACTGCAGTCTGTCCACCAGGTATTTTATGCCCTTCGTCTAAAAACCACCCTGCTCTCTCCCCCACCCCCCAAAAAATGCAAACTGACCATACAGAGTACTTGTATATATTATCAATTGCTTAATTCAATGTTGAAGTCAGTTAATTATCAAAATGTCTTCCTCTTTTCTCCTGTGTCCAAAACAGAACTCACTGAGTAAACTAACTGAGGCACTCAGTTTCTCCATTTCCTCAGGACAGACATCCGGGCAGTTGGTGTAGCCAAAGTAGAAGACTGACCAGTTTCCCTTAAAGTCGTCTAGTGTCCGAGGATTTCCATCTTGGTCCAGCAGGTCGAAGTTTCCCCCTACATTTGCAGGGGTGTTAAGTTCTGCAGGCCATTACAATGTAGAAATTATGATTTTAATTTGAGATCATACAGTATCACGTTGCATGTTTTATTTATATATCAGCATTTTAAGCCTTTTTTTTCTTTTTTTGATAACTAGATTATGCTACTATTGTATCAAGTTATTGTTAGGTCACAGATTTTCTTTTTCTTTTTTTTTTGTAAAAAAATATGATAGACCAATAAAGATCATTATTATTCTTACATTTAATTACTTTTATTATTATTATTATTATTATTATTATTATTCAAAGGGGGGGGGGTAAAAAAAACTACTATATAGATTGGAAAAGGTCCACTCAGAATTTGATCTTGGTTCTTGCCAATTCTCACGCTGGATCAACCAAAGAATTTTTCCAGAGAAAGAAACCCACTTTCAAAATTGCTGGCTATATGCCAGTCTACCTTATTTATAATACTTACCTAACTCTAGCCACATGAAGCTTGCATAAGCTATGAGTAAACTTCCAATCACCAAGACCAGAACTAACCTGTACTTGAACTGCAACAGTAAAGATGTGAACATTCAATACAGTCACGTCTCATGACTTACAAAATGATACTAGTTCAAAACATTTATAGAAAAAGTTGAAAAACAGAGTGCAAACAAATAAATATTTGTTTTGTAGATCTAGTAATAAACAGTGGTAAACTATGACATAATATTTACAGATTTTTTCTAAAGATGTCAATAAGCACTAAGAACCTCGGAAATACTATCCTATAGTGATACATAAAAAATATCAAAATAAAACACTCTTCCTTATTGAAGTTAAGGTCTGTTAAAATATGCACTCTGTTGCAGTAATGTTTTAGTCTTGAATGGAACATATTGCATGATTGCAGCACAAAGTGCCATAAAAGAAAACCTATTACCCTGCTCATGCCACAAATATAGTCAGAACCACATGCTTTAACACACAATCATTTCTGATTTGACTTTGTCATAATTTTTAAACAATTAAATAAGACATCCTGGATAACACATACTTGGAGTATTTCCTTACTGAGCACTTCGTTTCGAATTTCTTTGATTTCTTTGCGCACTGCATCACTCCTCTCTAGATGCCGACTCATCATGGCCATCTTCTGCCTTTTCTCCAATTCCTTTCTCTGCTTCTCATCTTCAGTGGAATATCTTCTTGTGGAGAGACAATGAAGCCTGTATCGTGAATTCAATGGGCATTTTGAATAAATGTGACTTTGTATCTGCAAAACAAAATAAATACAAAATATGTTACTGTACAAGTTGGTAAAAATTTTCATTCTAAACAGACTAAAATACCTCATCTCATGGAATCTTGCCACTGAAGGTGATGGTGACTTTATTCATGCTACTAAACAGTGTGCAAGGTTATTGAAGTCTCAGGAATGGCAGTCCTGTATCCAACATGATTAGCACAGGTCAGGGTGAGCACCTACATCATTTTATGAGACAATTGTAACCTGTACAACGGGAAGCAGTAACTAGTGGGCTACGAATCCTGGCTTTCACACAGCCCCTCCTTCTCCCCCCCCCCCCCCCATACACACACACACACACACACACACACACAAACTATTAATACACGTAGAGTTACTCAAATAATAACAAAATTTTATTCAAATAGGTAAATGCAAAACACAAATTTTAGCAGGATCGCTGACATAAAAAATATTACTGACCTGAGAAAGTCTTGCATTACGAAAGAGAATTACCCTGTCGGCAGCGGCTGCAAGTGAGTGCTTATGCAACCTCGAAACAACGGTGTGTCGACATAGTCCCCGTGAAAGAACCTGGTGAGTTCCAATACCCCTTAATGTCAATAGAGACATTTTATATCATCGCTGGGAATACCGTGTTAAATACTATTGCTACCATTCAAATTGGGACACAAAATACACTAATTGTTTTGATGCAGCAGCACTACGGCACTCACGTCTTCCACAAGTTTTAACGATAGATGGCGCTAATGACAATACAAACTACACTCTTGTCTGAACCCAAAATATATTAGGTTGCAATCTGGAGTCAACACACGCTATTTATACTATAAACACTCAGACAGTTTTTATTTATTTATTTATTTATTTATTTATTTATTTATTTATTTATTTATTTATTTCGCTGAGCTGATCAGGAGGGAAACTTCTGTATGTAGATTTAGCTGATGATTTTCCGGAGAAAATGAAAGTAATTATATGTTTCCTTTTTTTGCACCGTGCATCTTGGCTTATAACCTACCGTGAGTGGGTAAATAATCATTGGCGGATTAAAGGGGGGGGGGTGTCAGGGGTGTCCTGACCCCCCTTCGATTTCTGAAAAAAATCCCACCAATGCTCCCCTCTTGAAATTAGAATTTTGACTAGTTGAATCATACAGTAGTTCTAAACAGTACCAAATGGCACCGTTCGACTTCTAAAATACCAAAAAAAAAAAATAAATAAATAACCCCACCCCAATGGGGAGGGGAAGGAGGCGAGGGTTGGCTTCGCATCCGCGGCCTGTCATTCCTAATTCCCCTCCCCCTTTCAAACGATCCTGGATCCGCCCCTGATAATGATAAATAACTAAACGTGGTAACTCATCATTTTTAAACTAGGCCTACCGGTATCACACGTGCCGAACGTGTAATATTTCAATTAGTATTTTGGTAATTTAAACGCTTAATTACTGCGTTCGTTGTGTTAGTGAGTGCATTTGAATGCGTGACAGTACAAAAATGTTTAAAATAAAAGGAGGCCTACTGTGTATAAGTAATGGGTCCTGATATTTCCATTTGGAATACCAAAGTTCATGCAGGCCAAACATTATGAGACTAAATACATGATCCTGCATGTCACTGTAGTTATGCATTCAATGCAATTTCAATGTTGTAAACATGGTATATTTGAATAAAAATGGCAATTGTAAAAAATATTATTTCCTATCCAAAATAAATAGATAAATGAAAAAATCTTTGTCTGTACATAAAAATAAATAAATGATCCGCCCACGATACCATAATTTCATCGAGATATGGGGACGTTCCAAGGATGTTTCAAAAAGCAAGAATAAAAGCAACTTAAATCATTTTATTTTATTTTTGTAAGCGCAATGAGTACGTCAGATCGCCTCTGAGACATTCAATTATGAGAGGTAAATTATTTGTATATTGAAAAATAGTTCAGAGTAAATTCCAAAGATAGCCATATTCTGAAAGCTTCACATACTGTAAATTTATCAACCAAATGCTTGACTACAAATTCATCACAGCTAGAGTATCTTTCGCGTTATTAACATTTCATTTAAAACGATTTTGATTGAATCTTGTTTGTCGTCATCTGGTGGGATAAACGTCAAAATAGTACTTAGTAATTATTTCAAGAGACTATACCTTTATTCGTTACAATCAGCAGTTATAATCTAGGGTATTGATACTTCCTAATGATTGTCAAATCTCACGGAACAAAATTGCCGCTGTCTGTGTACTATACAGGAAAAATGTATGTTGACTAGAACTGATTTAAATCTGACTTGGTAAGTGTGAAAGTACATTGGCACATTTTTTATTCTAAATCAATTTTTAAGCCCTAATACTCGTCTGCCGTTCGTCACATTACCGTACAATCGCTTGGATATGATTCGTCATATCATATGGCCGATTTGCATTAATATTATTTGCATATGCCAGAATCAAACGCTGAATTCTACAACTCGATTTTCCTTTCTCGCCTTTTCTGCCGCAAACACCNTTATACAGGAAAAATGTAAGTTGACTAGAACTGATTTCAATCTGACTTGGTAAGTGTGAAAGTACATTGGCACATTTTTTTATTCTAAATCAATTTTTAAGCCCTAATACTCGTCTGCCGTTCGTCACATTACCGTACAATCGCTTGGATATGATTTGTCATATCATATGGCCGATTTGCATTATTATTATTTGTATATGCCAGAATCAAACGCTGAATTCCACAACTCGATTTTCCTTTCTCGCCTTTTCTGCCGCAAACACCAGTTTATGACTGAGCAGTGTTTCCTCTGACCCGGTGAGAATCTTTGACGGATCATTGGTCTGAAACAAACGACCATAAGCTATAAACGAGCTATTTGCAAAACCAGAATACGCAACTGGCTGCTATCTCTCAAAATCTAACATTTTAATGTTAATCTTCAAGTTAAAAATAGATTTACACGTAATACCACAAACTTCCCTCCACCTCCACCACTCCAAAATATGTATTTTAAAGGGACTCGGCCCATCTCTTAACATCACGATTTAACCACTCCTACCAACTATCAAAATCTACCATTAGGGCCTACAATATTTATCTTAAAATTAAAGATTTGATCTTATAACACAAACTTCCCTCCAGCTCTTCCATACATAAATTTATCGAAAAGAGTCTCGTCCCACCTATTAACATAACATTTTTTTTAAATTATGAGACAATGGTTAAAAACCATTCCTACATATAACCACCATTTTCTACGTCCGTAACCTACCGCAATGGCGTCCACCAAGGATACCATCATCATGTGGTCAGCGCCGCCGTGGCCTCTCAGCCGGACATTGCTGGGGTTAACGCAGCTGTGACTGGTGGTGCTTTGGCTGAGAAAGTCGTAGTGGTGGACGACTTGGCTGTCAAAGTCACAACGAAGCTCTCCCTGACGTTATACAAGTTGGCCGCTTTACTATATAGTCTCAAGTGTATTTATACATTGGTATCATACTATCCTTTAGCTCTACGCGTCAACCTTAACCTTGATTCAACCTTACTAAATAAGTCTGTTATCTAAAGGCAATCCTCGAGGATTTTGCCAAAATTTATGAAACTGCATTTAATGAATTCAATAAATCAAAGGGTGTACCGTTCATGAAACATTCTCTACAATTTATTATCTTGATATTTACATATAAGAATTCATTATAATTGTGGTAGGAGTGACAATAGTCTTGTGTACAGTGTAGAGTGCATGCAATGGCACACCGTAAGCCACACATAGGCATCAGATTGTGTTAGCTGTGCCTCACCTTGCTTCCATACACTTGCACCTGCCTGGCACAAATCTTCTCCGTGAATGCGACCATAGTAAACGAAGCGGTCTGCCCCCCATCAAACTGGAAGTTTACAACCTGAAAATACACAGTGCAATTTATGAACCCAAACGATAGTCAGGTACTAGTAAATTCGAACACTTAAACAATAAGAGTTAAAGTATCGCGTACAGCCATATAACTAACCGAAGTTAATGACAGGTTATAAGAACATTAAAAAAAACATGCATCTTACACACGTGCTCATCATAAGTAAATGATAGAATAGGCCTTCCAGTGCGTGCATGTTCACATGGCTTATTATATCTGACCAACTGCCGAAGGCAAAAGGGCCTTAGTTCAAGTTGTATTTTAAGTGCATCTTACCTGGTTGGACATAACATCGTTGTCACAGTCGTAGACACACCTCCCATACGGTCCAGTCTTCAAAGCCTCGGTGACACTTTCTATGTCAGGGACTTCAGTGATGACAGACACTGGCCAGCGAGTGTTGCCCTGGAAATAATGTTATTTGTTATTACCAGTACATCTTTAACACGCACGCATGCAATTCTCACACACGCGCGCGCACACACGCACGCTCATACCCACAGTGACTCATTCAGTTTTTTTAAATCTCAGCTTATAATCGCTACCTCTCATAATCTAATAATCTTTATGAAAATGGCCAACATGTATTAATAATTCAACCAAGAAGATTATCAACGTGACTTTTCACTAACCTGTTTAACCATTTCGTCTAGGTAGAGTTTCTTGGCCGAATACGGACACGAGTTCTCTACTGAGCAGTCCATGCATCTTGACGATGCTCCCTGAGGCTGAGTGCATAGTTGAGACAATAAGACTAATATACATGTGCAATGCTATTTTATTATCATAAATGGCTTATTTGACATGGTTGTAATATTAGAAATTTTACTAATGATCTATTCACTTAACTTAAATAGAAGAAACTGCTCTTTTAACAGACTTTCAGTTTGAAATATATACCACTTTGTTTAATTGTAGACCATACGAGTAGGCCCTGTAAACAGCTTAACTGAACTTGAAGTTTGGAAAAATATATATATCAATACTCATTTCTGTTACGAACTAATTACAAATAGGTACAAAATGCGTTCACATATAGGTTAATTTCTTTTCTTACCATCTACGGTAATTGCGTTCTGTATTTGTATGAATGAAATATTTTCACCAGAAAAGCATCTGTCAAACAAGCCCAAGTTACTAAGTATTATAATTCGTTTATGCTTGGTTCCATTCACCTTATTTTCTTTGGTAAAATGGATCAGACTCCCCATAGATGAGATCCTGGCGACCTTTGCCGGATGCATCCAAAAATTCAGTAGGTCAAGATCATGGCAGGATTTAGCCAATAAGGAGAAAGAGCTCTGGCGTTCATTTCTCCAGTTTCCACGGACATACGAATGGGCAAAGTGCCAAAACCCTACCTGAAAATATTGTTTTAATTGGGCTTAGAAGAATCCATAGATGTAAACAAAAAAAGTAGAGTTATGCCATGGGGTTCAACCGAGTTCTGCATGCAGCCAGCAAAGGTTAGTCGTGAGAGTTTTTTTGCCTCCAACAAAGAACCTTTAAAAACGCATCTAATCAGCATGAACATAACACAAAATATGCAAATTCCACTTTCGGAATATCTCATCCAAATTTTTAATTTTGAGACTGTGTGATATCCAAAAAATTGCAGAGAAATGACAGGAAGTGAATGGACCAGCAAAAACGAAAAAAAAAATAAGTAGGAATATAAAAAAATCTCAATATGTGCAGAGTTGGGTTCTCCTCACCTTATTTTTTCTATTAAAATGCATACAACTCCCAAATGAGGAAACCCTAACACATTTTGATGGCAGCATCCAAGACATAATTAGGTCAAGGTCGTGACAGGATTTAGCCAATAGGGAGAACGTGCTCGTGCTTTCGTTCCTCCAGTTACCTCGCACGAAGGAGTGGGCAAAGTGCCAAAACCCTACCTACATTACACGGTGTAATGCACATTTAACAGGGCATTTTAATAACTTAATAACATACAATACAATGCATTTTAGAGGTTGCACAAAAACCTGTGTAAAAAGTAACTCTTTAATATTGGATTATGAAATATACCATGTGCCGGGGTACACAAAATGTATGTTATAGGCCTATACATGTACATGTATAGCAAAGAAACAAGTGGCATTTTCCAGATTTGATTAATGTATGAACCGTATATGATCTGAATTCAAGCTAAGTTTTTATATTATTTCAAATTGAACGATGTGGACCATACAGGTGCAACATGTATGTAGAATGAAATTTAATTTAAACTAAAACTGTACGACATTCTAGGAACTAACTCACTGGTTCCAGGAGCTGCAGGTGTGTGACATCTCCAATCACTCCGCTGTCGATGATTTCTTTGATTTTCCTGGCAGTCAACGTGTATCTTAACACGTGACACACGGCTAGCATGACCCCGGCCTGTTTACATGTCTCCACGATCTCTATACAGTCTTGCTCCGTTGTCTGAATTTTTGAATAATTTTGATAAATAAAAGGGGTGCTATTTCAGTAATGTATAAAGGCGATACTGTATCTGAGTACGCCTACATTTCTCTCAGAATTACCACAAATCCGCTGATTGTGAAAACTGAGTGAAGATTTTTATACATAGGGGCCCCTTTCTAGATTTATAGTCGTGCTTAACAAAAAATGACAGTCTTCATAAAATTGTTTTTTGGTGTACGGTTGTTTGCAATTGTACATGAATTCATGTTTTAAGCGAAAAGATTCTATAAAATTTATTGGTATTTTCATGGGCTAACTGAGAGCGCCATAAAATGATACTGAAATTAATAACAACAAAACGCGTTCTGTATTGTTGCAATCTTGGACGAACAAAGCAATTACCAGCCCAAGTTGCAATGTATCAGTTACCGCCATGGGTTTCTCTACCAGAATGTGATATCCATTCTTAGCTAGTGCAACGGCAGGTTCCTGTGAGAACATTTTAAATCAATTGATTTTACATTTCTGAAAATGTATTCTGGCTAAACGTCTGAACCAACAAACAACAACAAGTATAATTACGCATAACAAGTAACGTACCTGTAGGGTATTTACTATATCTTTTTTAATTAACATAAGCTTGCACATATCACACTATAAAATATACCATATTATGATTTATGGACGTCTGTAGAAAATGTTCACTTTTTGCATTCAATATATCATTTGCCCACCTTATGCAATTGATCAGGAGTTGCAATAATCGCTAAATCAGCCATTTTGGGAATTTTGAGCAACTCCTTCCAGTCTGAAATGACGTGAAATTATACTTAATTCAGAGAGAGAGAGAGAGATTTGGTTAACACACTAGATCCGATGTCAAGCCTATGTCCATCGCTTGTGACAAGATAATGGTATATAGGGGAAGGCAGGGTTAGTGCACCGTCTTTTAATAAAAAATAGGTAGAAGGTAAACTATTATCTTCAGTTTTCCAGATTTTTAGAAGGAAGTCCATGCTCTATTTTTGGTACAAGTTTGAGACTTGCGCTGTTGTTATTTTTACAGAAATTTCCATTTTAAAATGTCTAGACAAAGTGTGCTAACTTGCTCCACCCAGGGGTAAGTCCGCACACATATACAATCGAAAAGAAATACTATACATTTTACTCGATAAAACTGAATAGCAGTCATTTTTTATTTTATTAAGCTTGCGCATATCATATGCACGTGACCTCTCAAAAAGGCGTAGGGCGAGATGCATCGTTTCGCTTTTGAGATTAAGGAAGGGGGTGTGTGGACTCGCCTCAGGGGTGGACAAGTCTCGCCTTCCCCTATAATAATATATAGGTTATTTATATTTTTATGTGTGTACATTTTTTATGTGGTTACATTGTGTGTAAGAGTACTAAGTAAGTTACGTTGGTTGCTCGAATACAGATTAATGTTACCTGAGAAGACAGCCGTGTCTGGTATTCCATATGTCTGTTGCATTTTCGTCCTATAAAACCTCCTCGGTTCTGCCACTCCGACAACCTTTCAGCATGCGAAGTAAAATAACAAAATTTATATTTACAATATATCCGCATCCCGCGCGCTTCATCTAATCAGACACATATGTCGGCTAAACGGTTTGAGGCCGTCGTTCTATTTAAAATAATACAAAATTAATATCTAGGAGTAAAACTGTACAATTAAGATCCCCAAAGACGTGTTTTGAATTCAGTTTTGTCAAGCTACAGACATTAGCCTAAATCTACTCGTGTGTTCACCATTTATTTAAACTTTGAAATGACGGTTTATTCCACAAAAGCATAGAGAAGCCATAGTTGAAACTATCATATCTTTACAAGTGTAAAATCATGGAGATCTTCTTAATTCGTGAAAGCTCTTTTCACTTGTTCTGAAACCAGTTAAAATCAGTTAGACACCTTTGTCTTAAAATAGTAGGACCTGAATGCATACCAGGGGAACAGTCGATTTCACTATAGAGAGGTATCTCTTTTAAAAACTGGATAGAATGACGGAAACAAATATGATCGTTAAATGCCCATTTAGGGCCACGTGCGCGTAAGACAACAAACCTTCAGTTTTTCCGGAAATTCATCAGCAAATTCTGCATAATTGTGTCCCCTGTTTCCTGCTCCAATGACGACAGCTGTTACTTGTTTCATGGTTTCCTGCTAGCTGTCTCCAGGGCCTAGCCTCGTTTTCAGGAATCTTCCTTCAGGAATGGAGCTCGAGTGAGTCAACTGCCAAGGGTACCCTGTCAACCTATGTTGTCACAGCCAGGGGATACCAGTGTCACGGCAAGATGACCTGTACTCCAGCGGTGGTGCGTGAACGCCAACCTGGCACCTGATAAATAGGTCATTTGGAATATTCTTAAAACGCAACAAGACACAAAATAGCCATCTCGATAAATTCCCCCGAGAACCAAACCTTAGTCGAATTGTGACTAAGCTTTCTTGGTCAAAAGAGCTTAATAAAAAATCTAAAACTACCCCTGTAAAAATCTCAATAAATCAACTATGGTAATAACTGCGCTGTCAATCTCCATTCACAGCAGCAGAGCAGTATATTAAAAAAAAGAAATAAGCCATAGTTCTACAAAAAATTTTTTTTACATTCTTCTTCATTTAAGCAGAAGAGAAAAGCGATTCATTCTTCCTCCAACAATGTCAATTCTTCCGTGCACATTACGCCATCAGCCCATGCGGAAAGCACGTATTCCTTATTAACCGCTTCAAATTATACTGGTACTGCCTTCTGTCCTCCGTTACCACCTCATAAATATTAAATATGGATAAGAAGGCAACTGATATTTTTAACTCTTTTTCACGACTGCGTAACGGTACATACCAAAATAAATTAACCCGAGTAGCTATGGCAACTGAAAATAAGCACCATATCTGATATTTGGAAATGTTATTTACAAGGAAATTGTATAAATGTAACTTTGACAATATTCAAAATTCCCTAAAATATAGCGAACATGCTTGGCTATTCAATGCAAAAATTGAATCGCTTTTTGAATGGTTTTTCACTATGTAAACAAACGTTACTTGTTCTTCATACCTTATGGTACTATGCTTCAGAGATATTATTCTCCCATTCTGAACTCAATGAATACAGAATTGATGAACCCGCATAAATCCTTCATAGACCACGGTAAAATAGAAATAACAAAAAAAATTTACGTTTAAACATAAACAGATAGGCCCATTATAATCATTATTGCAACGCTCTTTCCGCAATCTCTGCATTAATTATAAAAAAGCCAGATCGGCTTCGATGGTTACAATAAAGCATCCACTTCTTAAATAAAAACCAATATGAGTTTTGTATAAACCCTACTATACGCGGTCATAATTAAGTATTTATGAGTTAATGAAGTAAACAGGTCATACATCTGCTGTAGACGGAGCTTTGACAAGGGCATAACCATAAAACACACACACGAAAGTTTGCAACGGCAGATGTGGAAGCTCAACATGCAGCAAGTTCGTTCTCACCTAAAGAACGCACGGTGAGTAGAACGCCTTATGCATACATTCTTGATTGTACGTACTGTATTATAAGAATGGAATGTAGTTTAAAAGGCTTTGCTTGCTTTCTGGGGCGATTTCCTAACCTTTTAAGCTTTAACCTTTTAACCTTCAAGGACCTCTGCACATCCAGCGTTATATCTCAGCAATGCAGCTGCATCGGTATGATTTGAAAGATTGGCACCTAAAATAGCCCTCTGCATGCATTATGTAATGTTACTTGAAATTTTGAGACGAAAATATGTTACCACATAAATTCTAAACTTAATAATTTTTCATTCAGACACAAGATCGCGCCAAAATGCCCGGTTGCCAAAATAGCAAAACTTAGCTACATTCCAGTTGTGTTCATCGTGACCTTCGTGCTAGGGCTGTTTTACCAGAAAGACCTTCTTGTCGATCCACTGTCTGGAAACACCAATCCCGGAAGAAGGTTAAGTGATGTTCCTCTCACATTTATAGTTTATATATTATAATTTCCCTAAATTATGGAGGCCATAATTCCTCTAATGAACCCGATATAATATTAGGCATTTGTATAAATGCAATTATAGATAAATTACAGAAATGAAGAGCATTGGAATATTTGGAACTGATCAGTTTTAGTGAATTTTAACGATCATATTAATACGCCTTTGGCATAGGTCTACAACACGTCAGTACACGAGCCAATGATGATACTTCCCATTAAATTTTCGACCCTTAAACACTTGAAAAATCATGCCCCTTAAATTAGGGATTATATGGAAGGTTGTTGCGAGCATAATGGCACCGTTCTGTAAATCATTTTCCACAGTGGTAACCGTCCAATAGACCGACAGACCAAGGATCCCTTCTTAAATAGCGACTTCAACTTGGAGTCAATTCCGCCATCTTGGGTCAACGAAATGAAAGCAAGACGTTCACGTCTTCTACAACAATGCCAGGCCATGAAAGATGAATGGACCTCGCGTTTTACTAACCAAGACGGTGTCTCCGACGAACTGGTCTCTTCCCCTGCCCCTCCTTTGTCTAAATTTGGGGGCCCAATTGGGTACCTAACGTATGTCGACCAGAAACATAAATTCCTCTTTTGCGGGGTACCAAAAGTGGCCATTATGAACTGGAGGGTGGTTCTCCTGCAGTTATCCGGTAAACACCTTTCCGCTCAGAGTTTAATGGACATCATCCAAAGTTCTGATTCGTGGGAAGAAGACATCCCAAGAATTGAGGGCAAACTCGACGGCCGCCATGATGGTTTTCTCAAAGTAATGTTTGTGCGACATCCGTTTGAAAGACTCCTCCATGATGACGAAGCAACTTTTGAGAACTTCGTGAAGCGTGTTATAAGCTCCTACGATCCAAGATCGCGTTCTCTGAAAACAGTTCCGGGGCACATCCACTGGGGGGAGATGTACCAGCTGTGTGATCCGTGCAACGTGAGGTATGATATCATAGGACATTACGACACCCTGACGGAGGATGCGTCAAACGTGCTGAAATTGCTGGGAACAAACGTCACATTCCCCAGCGAAGAGTTTATTGAGAGCTACCGAAAGGGTAACAGACACGGCTATGGGAACACGCAACAAATGATGGCGCAGGCGTTGAGAAAACTGTCTGGAGAAGACCGCAGAACATTAAGTGAAATTTTCAAGGTAGATGGTAGACTCTTCGGTTTTGATGTTAACATGACTGTTATGCCTTACTAATGTAGTGTTTTCGCGTGCAACGAATAAACGTTTATCGTGCCATTATTAATGTAACCGTAAACGGCAATGTTTTACATTTTCAATTAATTTAAATTAATTGGAAATTAACAAAATTGATTAAATTAATCAGAACCACTTATCCTTAAGCAAAAAAAAACTCAAGATGTGGAGATAATATAACATAATGTTATGAAAGCTTACATGTACTTGACAACGTTGGCCCACATTTTTGGCCATATTCTCCACCTTAAATTCTGGAGAATACAAATAACCAAACATTTTAATTTTTAAAGGATCTGAAGTCGAGTTAGGTTAAACGATTGTGCCGGTATATGACGGTAAAGATAAACGGGGTAGTATTACTTGACCCTATAATCAATGTGATGCACAGGTTAAGACATACATATTGTATTAGAATACAAAAACAGGAGTCCGTTTAAGAGATTATTTATTTATTTATTTATTTATTTTATTTATTTTTTTTTTGTATTAAATAAGGAGCACCCAAAAGCATGAAAATCATCTTCGCACACATTACAAGGATTAAGAGAAATATGAAGGTAGCATGTTCCAGAATTTCCAATGATTTTTAAAGTAAATGCAAAGAGGACACATTTCTTGTATCAAAGTATTTAAACTTGGCCGTTAAAGGCAAAGTATCGAAAACGCGATTAAATTCCGTTTCATTTTTATGGTTTGTCTTTAGTGTGGTAAATGAAAATCAACCTTGATTCAACCTTTATGAATGGTTAATTGCTGCAACTTCGTAATTAACGACACTTGAAAGAATTATGTATGTGATATACAAGTTATCCTTAAATACTTTGTCAAATTTGAAGTATCGAATAATTGCTAATAAACATTTGGTAAGCATAAAATTATAGTTTTTTAGTTCTTTTCTCTCTCCTCGTCTGCAGACCACCAGTTTATCACAAATGAAGAACTAATCATTTATTTCTACCAGTATTATGTTTATCCAAAATTTGCCTATTATTTTTGCATATATAGAAATCAATATATTCATTTCATATATATATATATATATATATATATATATATATATATATATATCCTTCACACAATCGAGTATTCAATTATAATCAACCATCCGTCCATCAAACACTACATTTTCCTTATTCCATAAACATTTTTCAATTCGATACCTTTTCACCGTCAGTAAGTGCCCTTTGTTTTCAGGATGCCCCCTGTATCTTAGCAATAGGATAAATAAATTCGAACGCAAGCAGACCCCCTACACGTACTGTTGATAAGATACTTGGCTATGTCAACCTTAAAAAATCAAATAAAACGCCAAGCCCTACGGTATGGGGGTTTCTGGGGGATTGGGGGGGGGGAAGAGAGAGGGTCGAACGAACCTCCGTCTTGACTCCACATCTGAATCAAAATTTGATCTAGATTCTATGCCATTGTAAAAATGTTCACTTTTTCAAAAAAAGGACTATATATATATATATAGGCCTATATATATATATATATATATATATATATATATATATATATATTGAAATTGCTGGCCACAGACTCAAGTTCGTTCTGTATATTAGTGACAAGTTATCTACAAGGAAGGTCGACTCTGTTCAACCTTAAACAAAACTACGTGAATACATCATGGCACACGTGCTTTATAGCTGCTACTGCTGAGACACAAAGCATATGGCAAAACCACTCTATTATTCAGTGTGCCAGGCTAAGTCATAAATTATAAACCGGGATCAAACATCCACCCGTATATTCGAACACTCAGTTCGTTTGTTTTTTCTTTTTAGTAAAGGGGGAAAATATTAGATAAAGAAATTATAGTATCTGTGTGACCACCATTGTCGATGTTTTCCTTTCTTTGTTCGCTGGGTAGGAGAGGGTGGTCTAGACAGCTTAACCCAGTACAGAAAGGCTGCACACACTCCCCCAAAGCCACATTTTAATTAATAAATAAGGTCATAGTATGACAAAATATAGTCCAAGGACACACAGGTAATAAGTGATGACAGTTTCATGTCGACACTAAACTACCTGTGTTTAAATAGTTTGTTACCGAGTGGAAGGGAGGTTATTCCTCAATTCATCCCTCCACCCCACCCCTCATGCAAAATGTAACCACACATGCGCATGCGTACACTTTACTAGTACGCCCATGCACGTGCACTACGCTCCTCCGCAACTCCTGGTACACGGTACCATAGTATACATGTAGGTAGGCCTACTATTAAATGCTATGGGACCTCTTTAGCATGTTACCCACCTCCAGAGGCTGAGAAGTAGAAAAGGCATCAGAAAATAATGTGAGGGTAGATCTACAAATGTATGTACATGAACATGCAAAGTAAAACAAATAGGGAAGGTACAGTAGGCCTACATGTAGGCCTACATGGATTGAATGAGACGACAGCTAAGTAGGCCCTGTAGGCTACTGTCCTAACCTCTCTACGTAGAAAACAATATGTGCAATTTTCTCATACTGTCTACGCCAACTAAACATATAGCACGATCTCATTAAAAAGTCATGCGTACCTGTTTACATCCAGACCCGCAGTGACAGTGACATGTATATCTGGACACGTACTAAACTGATACACCACACGGAAGTAGCTGGTCGTGATAGTAAATAGCGTACATTTTCTGTCCTCCGCAGCATAGAGAGCTGCACGTGTGGTACGTGTCATTGATCATAATACGTGTCGTAACATAACCATTGCTTATTTTGTGATCGATCATACGTATTGTCCAATAAGCAGTATGCTTCCTCGTAAAACTTTGTGTCCAGTGTAATAGATCAGGAATAAAATCGACAGAAACAGAATTTTAAAAAGATATTTTTATTGTCATTATGGGCCTCTCCCACATTCGTTGCTGATTCATAACCAGCTTTGTGAGGGGGTATCATTTTTCTAGGTTAGATCATTGACTTTGTCATAAATATTATTCATGCAGACGTACCGTGCTGTACATATCTCATGTTTCAACCATAGAAAAACGATTGCAAGGCCTAATATTCCGAATAATATAGACTAGAATTATAGACACACTTAACGCTCTACCCAAACACATTAGAACAAACAACGCGTTGTAAAAATATGAAGGCAAATACAAAATGTGGAATGCAGCATGATATGGGCCTTATTCGAACTATGTTGTCCCCTATCTAGCTGTTGACAAACAGGTAGCTAGCTGTTGTGCAAACGACAGAGCAGAAATATGCAAACTAGTGTACAGTCATAGAAATAGCTGAAAATAAGGGCGCATTCCCATAGATTTTAGATCGATCTATCCCCGAGTCTCACTAGAGTCTCACTAGATTACTGTCAGATAATCCGGCTTAAATGTCCGTCCCGCCTACTACAAGCTATAAGGGGGTAATTAAATTTCGTGCCCGCTCGGCTGACAGCTATTTAGCGTGAACCCCCAGAGAGTTAGGTGAATCTAGTTGGATCGATCTAATCTCTGGAAATGGGGTCTAATTCTCTCTAGCGCCCTGATAGCACACAAGTAGCGATGATGGAGTGAGCACTTGAGTTGAAAAATAAACGATAAAATATTTATTGGATTAGGATCGAAGTTAACTCAGCAAAGCAAAGTACCCATTCAAATCAAAATAGTGTATTGATTAAAGCGAATTTACTGATATGTATCGGTAGTTGAAATACTATGAATAATTCCTAAATAATCGACTGTGGGCTATAATATGACTTGAATATTGTTGTCATAATAACATTTTCTTCCTAATACTTTAAACATTCATACAAATTGTATAAAAATATTAAATTATTAATTTTCTATCCCTTGAATAACTTAACTATTGAGATAACACAAACTTGTAACTTAAACCCGTGTATATAAGCTCTAAATAATTCACTCTATATAAACAATCAGACTGATCTTACTTAGTCTCTAAGTAAAGTATATTTCTAATTTACAATCAAAAAGTGGTCGATGATTCACTATCATATTTGTTTCTCACTCCGTTGGTCGCGTCGAACGTCTGGATCTCGTGGTTCACGCTTCGGTTTCCTTTTCCTCGCGGAAGGTCCTTGTACCAGCAGCATGCGCAGCACTGGCAGCAGGAGAAGGAGAGGAGGCACACTATCCACAGCAATATGACACACAGGACGAGCAGGATTCCAGCACTCACACCCAGGACGTAGAGAGCAATGTGGGCCTGAAATGTGAATATTGGAAAATTACGTCTGTGTCTTCTCCTGAACGAGATTTACTCCTGAAACCTCCTTCATTATTCTTTTTATTTATTTATTTATTTATTTATTTATTTATTTATTTATTATTATTATTATTTAAATATTATTATGATTATTCTTATTCTTTTTTGCTTCTCTGGATTTGCTCATGAGTAATGTTTGCAAAATAGTGTTAAGTCTTGCGTGGAACGTGGTTAGAAAAATTAAGCTTCCCGTTTCTTGGCGAGTTTTGTCTTTTTTAAGCGGGACGGGGGGGGGGGGCGGTATAATTTGTCGGAAAATTTCAATCCCAATCATTAATCAAAGACAAAATGTGAACTAAAAATCTGTAATCTACTCAAGGTATATCATATGAAGAGGCACCCATCACGGGGGGGGGGGGGGGGGGGGNGAATTCCGCCAAAAGACGGAAAAATCTCATGCCTGAGATAATGAAAAAGTATCTTCTAGAGCTATTTTGTTGTATACGTACAGCCGATTTTTGCCGTCCAGACAGTCCAGACTATTATTAAGATGTTCTTTGTAAACTTTCCAAATGTGAGGCGCGAAAGTAATATAACGCTTTTTTTTTTTCTTTTTTTTTTTTTTTTTGTAAAATACAGTAAAACTTGTTTAAATTAGACACATTAAAATCTTCCATTATCCCTTCAATTATAATTTCTGTCAGAGAAGTAGATAAGCGATGAGCAGACACTGATCTACTAATTATCATTGGAATTTTATGCGTGTTGCCGAGTTAAACGTGCGATAAATCAAACTGAATGTCACTTCGTTTAACTGTATGTACAATTTCTTCACCATTCACTGCAGTCGGTAAAAAGAAATATGCATGAACCAGGAACATGATATACTGCACTTACTTCTTTTGCCGTCAGGTTTAATTCTCCTGAAATTAATTAAGATACAAAAAGATAATTAGGAACCATAACGGGTGGTCTCTCTCTCTCTCTCTCTCTCTCTCTCTCTCTCTCTCTGCGATCTGACAAGAATAATGAATAATGGCGACGAAGGGTATTCAAATGTAGATTTATCTAACTCATATGACCATCGAAATGATTTACAAAGCTTGCATATAAACCAAACCCTAAACAGGTAGCTAGAATAAAGAATGGTACAATAGACCAATGTTGTTACAGTATTTAAAGTCAAATCATGAATTACTGGTAAGTAAGAACAAAAAAGAAAGGAAAGCCTTGCATTTTACCTACCTACTCGCAAAATTTCCCCAGGTGGATCCACATATACTTCGACGCGTTCTGAAACAAGTGATATAATGAGATGTCACCTGGTGTCCTTAAAATAAGTAGATTCAGAGATTCACCCCACTCTTTTCTTTCTCATTTTATGGACTCGCTAGTGAAAGCGAAATAATTGGCTGTAAATACATGTAAGTTTAATTCTCCAGCTACTGACAATTGAGCATCTTCATTTAATATAAATATATCATTTTGCAGCAGATTCCTGCCCTTGCTCTTAAAGACTAAGACCCCATTTCCAGAGATTAGATCGATCTACTTTAGATCGACCTAACTCCCTGGGGGTTCACGCTAAATAGCTGTCAGCCGAGCAGACAAGAAAGTTAATTACCCCCTTACAGCTTGTAGTAGGCGGGACGGACATTTAAGCCGGATTATCTGACAGTAATCTAGTGAGACTCCCCACGGGGATAGATCGATCTAAAAGCTCTGGGAATACAGCCTAAGCCTCAAGCTTGATGTTCAAGTTATAGATCCATTTTAACCTGGCACAATAATTGTATTTTATACGGTAGTTGCTGAAAGGTACGATCACTTAGGCTTAGCTCTAGTATTATCGGTCTTGGTATTCCAATTTCATAATACCATAACTATGATATCATATTATGATTCTGTAACCCTATATTAAATTCTAAAGTTCTCGTCATAAAAAACAATTACGATGGCCTGTAGAATAGATCTACCAGTAGAGTCATTTTTATTTTGTCACCTAGACTTTCAGCTGTCAATCAAATTCCATTATTTATGACCCACCTTTACGGTTGCCAAGGGCAACAACCTCAGGCACGATAGAAATCCAGAAACGCATGGCTCGGCGCCTGTAGTTGGTGTTCAGAAAGTCACCGTTGGTGGCAGTGGTAATCTTCACGTAGTTTCTGTGCAGAGGCGTGTACGGGCGCCACGGTCCCAAAAAGTCATCACGACTTGTACTGCAATTTCATTTGATAACCTTTGTTACTGCTCCAGTCAAGGTTTATTTGTTTGGTTTTGTGCTTCTTCGCTCAAATACACCATTTAATCACAAAAATATTCGAAGATTGTGATAAATAAAAATAAACGTCTATAATCCAGTAGTAAAAGGAAATCTCATGAATATGAATGGGGGTGCTTGAAGATTTTTTAAGAATTACATCATAGTATTCACAATGTACTTTGAAGAAATCAAAAGTAAGATATTTGACATAAAATGAACGTAATAACTTACTTGGAGCTAGCAAACATTCTTATTGTCGGTTGGATTTCACTGCCACTTAGGAATTTTTCAACCAACGTGCAATTAAGGCCCAGCGCGTCGTCTGTAACGTCTCCAAACGCAAATAAGATGTCTTCCCCCGGCATGGCTTCAACAAAATCCGGATAAGAAGAATAACTTGGTTTATGGGAAAATATGCTTATGTATATATCCCCAAATCTACTGTAAAAATCGGCCGTTTGATATATCGAAGACCAAAAATTATCCGAATGCAATCTCAGAAATAGTTCTCTTAGTACAATTGGGTCGTCTCTTTCATCATTGTATTCATGACTAATAAGCTGTAAAGTTGCTTTTTCTTCTCCGAACCCCTCTGAGAAACTGCTCTGAATTAGATTTGAGAACTCTTGTTTGCTTGTTCCGTTTTGAATTTGCTTCAAGGAGAGTTGTTCGAATCCTCGTAGGGTACCGCCACTTACGCCACCAACCATGTATGGGACGCCACGATGGAATTTCCCGGATGACAGCAGACGAAACGGGTGGTCACCTATAAGTTCTCCGTCAACAACTGGCAAAAATAATCCTCCCGGCTTTCCTTTATTTATCTTTGCCGAATAACGCTCAGATGCTTCCATCAGCACTTCCAAGGGGACGTTTTGGAGGCATCCCAACACCAGGGTTGCGTTTCCACTCGTGCAGTTGAGCGTTTTGTAGAAAAAGGCAGTATGTTCGTAGAACATTTTCTTCATTTTTTCCTCCGGTAAATGCAAAGCGACGCCGCTCTGCGAAATTGCTCTCTTAAACAGACCATTGGTGGCGTTGCTTAAAAGAAGCAGGCCGACGCTTATTCCACCTGTTCCATAACCGAAGATGGTGATCCTGCTGTTGTCTCCACCGAAGCTGTGGATGTTGTCATGGACCCACTTCAGTGCTGCCACCTGGTCCCACATCCCATAATTTCCCCAGTGGGTTTCGTTCCCTGCTGCAAGAAAACCCAGGATTCCTAGCCTGATATGGAAAATGAAACAGCTTACAACCCATAACAAACCACATTTAATTTATTCGTTCAACATCATATACTTTTAAAGCAGGTAAAATTGAATGTGGTTTTATTTCAAGCAATGAAGAAAACTTTGGATTGCTGCAAAAAATAGACATCAATATGTTTAGTCCAGATTGAAAAGAAAAGAAAATCAATTGAAAGAAAATCAATTCACAAAAAAAAGAAAGAAAGTGATTTTTAAAACTGCCAATATTATTTAAATAATAAAATGAATTATTGAGACGACTCGAGGTCTGGTGAACCCATTTTAATTGTGGTTCACAAACCTACCGATAGTTGAAATTAACAACGATCAGTTGCTGTCCCAGTGCGAGCCGTGTCCCATCAAAGTTCATTCCAAACCCGGAGTCCCAACCCTCCGAGGCATCGTGAATATACACCAATACAGGCAGTGTTTTCTTTTCACTCACCCTCCCGGGTATGTACATGTTCAGATACAAGCAGTCTTCGTTTGTGACGTTGTGCACAACTCTGGCCTTCAAATACCCGTCGCCAAACCGGCCAAGCTGTTTGTAAGTTTTGGCCATATTCTGGGGGCAGCTTGGAGCAAAGCTGGTCGCGTTTCTTGGCAGAGACCAGTTGAGAAGTGCCCTTGGTCGAAGGAACCGGTAGGACTTGATAGGGGCTTGAGCATAGGGGACGCCTAGAAATCGCGTGATGTTACCGTTGTCCGTGGAAATCATTTCTCCCCTAAGAGCCCCATATTTGGTATTGACTGTTACGAGCTCTGCAGTAAACGGTTGTAAGTAGACTACGCAGAGAAACAGACTAAGTAAAGGAATGGCGTTTCTTGTTAAATGATCCATCATTTGAGTTCTTGTGAACATTTTGATATAGGCCCTATCCACACGCTGCTTAAATTGTTCTCACCGCTGTTAAATGTGACACTGGTGATGTTGCAGACTTTTTCCTTTTCACCCCGTTGTGCTACATCGATCAAATTGACCTTACATGAGAATTCTCAGATTGCTATTGTTTATGTACTTCGGTGTCAATGTACGCAACATAAAATCTTCCTCGTCCACTTCGAGATCGATGTACTGGTATATCTGATCGTCCCATAGAAAGACTGCATCCGTCAAGGAACGGAGCTCCTTTGAAAATACGGTTGCAAATAACGGACCTCACTTTTTCTCACGAAGTAATAAATTTGGGCTATTTCCATTATATTAACCCCGCGACACTTACACGCCCTGTAGACATAAATTGAACCATTTCCATGCAAACAGAACTTACAATAGACATCACCTAAGTTAGACAGCGACAGTCCTAAAACGTCCCTCCACAATAATTAATGCAGCCCCAGCCACATATAGCTACACACAGTCCGGTATCCACGGTTCCCTTAGCAACCCGGAAACATGAATAACAATGTCTTTGCCACCATTACATGTAGTAGTGTACAGGAAGAGGGGTAAGTTATATCGAAAAGATCGCGTGGATGAAAGACGTTATCGGCGGTGACCATGTGGCCATGACTTCCGGTGCCAGTGTTAAGTGTGGGACTAAGTTACACCGGTTAGTTTTTGACTGACGTCACAAGGCAGTTTTACACGTACACCTTTTGACTTTCACCAACCCTGAGATCTCCTCACATCCCATAGAGTTATCTCGACTCTCGTGGAGCAACCCTAAGGGTCTGTTAACTGTGTTGAAACCGGTTTCAATCCAGGATCAAAGGGGAGGGAGGGGGAGGGGGGGGGGTAAAGATGCGAAACAAACACAAATACAAACTGTATGCACACGCGCACACAGAACAGACGTGTAAGTCTGTACCGTTTTAGTACATTTTATTCAAGCAAGGGAGTTAAGCAGGGAGTGATTTATGATATCATCGGTATCATGACACATTTATACTGTTTAATATTCATTTCAGATTAATATTTTGATACTGGTGACGGTTGCCATAGCTGCAGTCACACAAGGCTACTTTACCGCTAGGGCAGCTGATATACAGTATTACCTTGGACTATATTTAAATCTGAATGAGACAAACTACTAGTACATGCACTGACACCAAAAATCCATTTAAACTTTTATCTTTAAAATAAAATTAGAAAATAGAAAATGAAAATTTTGGCGTATTCTGGGTGCATTCACTCTACCATTTCCAACAAATAAAGGTAATGTCCTTATGATAATTTTGTATGATATAATTTTCTTTAATTTGACACTTTTATCCATATTTAATGCTTAAGACTGATATTAACCCATTTTAGTTGCCAATGTGATTTGAACATTGCTTTCTATCACTATATATACATTGTAGAACCCTGGGATTTTTTTTTCATATATTTTACATTTTCTTCACAAATGAAGTGCTTTCATAGTCAACATCCCTGGTCATCCACCAACCGTACGCTCAGGGGTTGGGGTAATGCCCCGTGCACGCTTTAAAAAAATGATTAAAATGTTGAATCATATTGCTCTCAAAGGCCATCATTTTTAGCTTTTCATTTTGTATTCTCTGAAGGGGAGAAGGAGTCTGGAAAAAAGTCTACTCTTTGTAGACTTGAGCAAATGATGATAAGAATGGATGGTCCCTAAAGGGGGTTATTTTGATTATATCTGAAGTCTTTGGTTCAATCAGTGCAAATGCCCAGCCAAACACAACAAAATACAACACGTCATCTGTCTATTAAAATTAGAACAAGGATTTTCCATATTCCTATCATCTTTTATAAGAAAACTTACCCAACATTTCTATATATTTGAATGAAGTGATGCCATGTGGACGCTTTGATAGAATAGGAAACTCTAAACCGCCATGAGGCAAAACCCATTTCGTGATTGAAAAGGGAGTAAATGCAGATGTTACACTAATAACACGATGTCAGTTCAACCATAGTTGATGCTGCTGTTGCAGTGGAAGTTTATGCATCGTGAAAGTGATGCAAGGAGACGTAATTGCACCCATTTCACTGAGCAGGTAAAAAAAAACACAACAGAAAAAGAAACAAGAATCTGACGTCACTTGTGAACATGAAGGAGTCATCACGTCATGGCGCTAACGGTAGATACAATGTTTCATGAATTGTGAAATTATCTTATGTAATTCATTTCTGCATTACTTGCAATTTAAGTTTTTTTACTATTCAGCAAGAATTTTAGATCTGTAGACAATTGTGTTAAATTTCGTTGATTGGTTTAAGATGTTTGAGAGTGGTACGGTATTGTTCCCTGTAAAAGATGCTGTTGTTTAGGAAATGATTTACTCCCTAGCCAACTTTGCTATTTACTTGCCATATTTGTAGCCACTGAGACCAATGGGAGGAAAGAAGGACAAACCACCATGAAAAAAATTCGGGCGTCCAGTGACACTACAATAAGAATCAAGAGGAAAACTATGATCATTTTAATTGTGTTGTTAGTTCCTGTTGTTGTGCTGGGCGTGGTGTTGGGAGTGGCATTTAGAGGTTCGTAAGGGTTAATGTTTTGTACTTTTTCATCCGGAACTTGTACTCACGGATTTTTTCTTGACTTTTGTAAATGGATATATTAATTATTGTAACTAATCAATCAATGCGCATATCAATACCACAGACACGTGCTAACAGGTCTTCACCCTCCATACAATGAACCATAGCTAGATGTTGACTTTCAATAAAGACAAAGTTAGATATCTGGTCTATTATATGTTTTATACACCATCGTTAGCCGTCTTTGTTGAACGAAACTTGTACAATATTACATAGGCCATAACGGATAGGTGACACGACAGGTACTCTCACAAGTATTTTAGTTGTAAGTTAAAACGGATTAAGCAATAAGCAGATAAATTTTAGATGCATTGGTTCATGTTTAAGTCGGTTGTATTTTAGTGACCTATAACTAAAAAGTATGTACCGGGGTTTCCAGCAAAGAAACCAATTTTAGTGGACGTCAAGAAGAAAAACGGTACCATTGAGGCCGCAGAAGCCGGCACAGTGCCAGATATTTCACACAGCAGCGCCAGTGTACAAGTCACAGGGGCACAAACCTCAACTGTAACCAACTGGCACGACACGACCAACACTGAAGAACACCACACAACACACCAAATTAACGGCAACCATACAACCGCACAGAATTCCACAGCGAAACTTAGCAATCCCTTCATCACCACAACAAACCCTGGACCAAGTACACGCGAGTCCCCGGGGAGTGGCGCCTTTAAACAACAGCACCTTACTACGGCTGATTTTGGAGTTCTTCAATCTACCGAAATTACCACGGTTCATGCCAAAATTACCACGCGCGCCGAGTATGGCACCTTTAAAGGGCAGAACCATACCACTGCTAATTTTGGACTTCCTCACACTACCGAACTTACTATGGATCCTGCAGAACCAAATACCACTACTCTCGTAGAGTCGACAATGGAGCAATCCACCACTGGTAGGTACAAACGTTTATTAATGTAAAAGTGATGAAGCCGAATTGTTGCATTGAGGTTAGCTCTTTTTTGTCTTTCTTAAGAAGATCAGATGAAAATGGTCTCAGAATTTAATGCGTCTTTATTATTTCTAGGGCAGCATACTGCAAGTAGCTAGGATAGAAAGTTTCTGACACAAAGTGAGGACACTGAACCTTGGTGAACTATCACCAGTAGACAACTGTTTTAAGGAATTTAATTCCTATAACAACCAAATACAATGGATCGTAGCTAGAACACGCACACCTCCCCCCGCCCCTACTCCCGCTCTACTTTCGGGGTTCACACACTGTCCCATTATCAAAATGCAGTATAAGGAGCAAAATAGTCAGAGAATAAACAGAGGCAAAATCAAAGGCTTAAAAGTATTTATCATTTTATTAAAGGATCTTGTATTATAGAAAACAGGTGAAACATGAACATTTGCCACGTCTATTCTGTCGACGATTTGCGACCAACCTTCCAAATCATAGCTGTATTCAGGTGTCAAGATTTAATTTACAGAGATTTATAGTATATGCAGGTTTGTCAGAAACAGAATATCTAACCACAAATGGCAAACCAATCGATCAATGAACATCATTATTCGTCATTTTCCAAATGCAAAATCGCCCTTATCCTTTTATGACCTTCTTTTTGTTCTTCATTCAGTTGGCTGTACATACGGGTTCCACGAGATACCTGGGATGCTTATGAACTTCGACTTCGTCGAGCACAGGTTGATTTACGGCCTCACCTTTGAGAACTGTAAGCAGAGATGTGCCAGCGACCGTCAGTGCGGTGCCGGGGTCTACTTTATCACGGGGATGGTGTGTAGCATGGGCTTGGCCGGAGTGCAGTCCACGTGTATGGAGAGAATTATGCACTAATTGATTACAAGTTTTGATTTTATTACAGTTAAATTATTATTTTTTCTTTGATTGATCTATTTCTTGTTTGGTTTTCCATTTATTAATATATCCGTGTTGTTGGTTATAATTAGTTTACTCTGTGTACATATACATCGTCGTTCGGTTTCAGAGTGCGACCCCCTGGAAGTATTTGAGGGGACGAACACTTCCTCCCATCCCTCTAACTTTTTATTGTACATTTGCAGTCAGTCTGGCTACATAATACTAACAGCGTGAGCCATTTCAATCTCACAAGCCGGAACAATAATTATTTTACCAAATAGGAATGTTATGATAGAAAAAAATTCATTCCAGATACCGATGTCGGCGTGATAACCATCATAAAGTCATCGGAATGTAACTGCGAAATGGAGAAGCACACTGGCATGACCCTCTACGTTCATGGTTCATATCCACCAGGTAATGCACGACGTGTAGACATGCCCATGCGTGCTTGTGTGCGTGTGCGGGTGAGAATGCGTGTGTGCACGCACGTGCGATATTGGTGTACATGTACATGTATAACTGCTGCATATTACTGAAATGTGTAAATGCTGCAAATTATAGAAGCTGTATTTTCATGCATGTGTGTTTACGTGCATGCGTGCGTCGTGTTTTGCAATAATATGTATGCCTAAAATACGCGACGTAATTCACGAGACATCCGGATTTCTCGGATGATGCTCATTATCGTATTTTAATGATGTTGCAATTTATAGTCAATGCATTATCCTATGTGCGTGTATTTATGTGCATGCGCAGCGCTCGCTCGTGTATATGTGTGTGCATAAATGGTATAATATGTGTGTCTTTTATCGTTTCTAAAATGTCGCTGCGGTTTATAGGCCTAATAACTGTATTGCCGCGCTGCCATAGTAAGTCAGATATCTGAACTCGCCTTCTATTTTTACACAGGTGTCAACAAGTGGTCATTTCCAGCCAGTAAGCCAGATGACTGTCCAGAGGCTTGTCTGGCGGAACCTCTCTGCCTCTTGACACAGTTCAATCCCATTGATAAGGTAACGGTACAGAAAACCACGATCGTTAAATTTTGCCAGGTGTGTAATTAAAAGAAACGTTGTCAAAGACAGTCTGCTATCATTGCAAATACCACATTAGTTCATGCGAGAAACCGAGAAGGAAGTTATTTCTTCAAATAAACTGCATCCAGTTTTTAAAGGGGGGTTACATGCCAAAATTATTTGGTTATTTTGTAGCCTAGTGACATCTTGCATTCTTAGAATATGCTAGCATACTGTATGTACATTTTTCCGGCGCACATGTATAAGGATGCATTTGTTGCAATGAAAATCGTTATATTATGGTGAAAACTATACTTCGACAAGGTCACAGAGAGATTTTTCTCCACAGATGTTTTTTCTGGCTGTTCACTAGCTGTGCACATTTCTCTCCAGCGGGAATTCTGATACAAACATGGCTCTAGTTAACGCGTACTGTGTTGAGAAAAGTGTCATGAATTAACCAGAGAATATCTTTGAATATCAAGTGAAAAATCAAACTGTGGGCCTGATAGGGAGGTTAAACGAGCTGTAGTGTAGTGGATAGTATAGCCTTATTGGTTTATGTATCATTTTTTTTCATGAAGAACATTACAAAATATACATTGAACTATTTCCAGTGTAAATGACCATCAACAATAATGGGCAAAGTTACTCCTTATTTAAAAATGCGATGAGGTATCATTTATGACTGTTTGATTGTGTTTCAGAAATGTCACAGCTACAACACTTGGCCATTCATTGGATTCGGTACGGCGGAAGAAAACTTTTACGTCAAAAGCCGCGGGTGCTAGCGATCGCTCACATGTAACAGCGGTTTTTGAAGTTGTACCAGTATGACAGGGATGGTAGTCTACTAAGAACCGTAGTCCGTTCTCGAGTACTTTTTACAGGTGACATTCGTCCCATATATGCTAATCCCAATACTCCGACTGACCTTGCTGTACTAACCATATGGCAATGACATATTGGTTAGTGTTGTAAATGGCCCTTGCTAGTTAATTGCTAGCAATGTCAATTGGGCGTGGCATACCGTGTTCACACTGATATACAATGAACTCGTGAATCACGGTGGATGTTGCATAAAACGTGACAGAGAGAAAAAGCAGCCAAATTGGACTCTAAATATACCTGAATAGGATTCCAAGTAATCTTAATTTTAAATGAGAAAAAGTGTCGCTTTTCTTCGTACGAATATAACAAATGTATAAGTTATAGCAACATAAATATAACAGTGCCATGCGTTGGTTTATTATGTCACACCTATCGAGCTTGTGATATGTATACACAAATTAGGTGTATGTATATTTCTCATTGGTTGAATAAAGCCATTTTATTGTAAGAGATAATAGATTGTAATTCATTGACGTGATTAAACCGCAAAGGTCGTTGAGGGGTGTGTGGTGAACCTAACTTTTCTGCCCACAACCAAATTACAGATAAAAACCAAAAATTCGAGCCAGGACTGACATATTGGCCTACGGTAGTCATTTCAAATTTGTTTTGATTAGTTCCATGGGTCAAAATGGCCGGTTTAGACAAAATTGAAATATAAGGAAGAGCTTGCTTAAAAGTATTGGATCATTTGAGTATCATGTAAACAGAAGAATAATTATTCGATTGGAATATCAAATTGATTAATCATACAAAGAAAATGATTTCTAACAGCATTTCAATTTATTCGAGATCCACCATTCACGAATTTACACAATTAAATTAGTTCTTGGAAAGGTATTTAAATGCAATGAAATCTTTGAAGTATTTCGTATTATACCGCACTAGTACAATTCCTTATTGAAAGCTCCTTTATATTACTATATCTGTACAGATACTAGTATTAGTTGTTTACCACATCTTGGGATCACAACTACAAGAGTTGGTTACTTGTTCACATGGAATTTTACAAGCTCACTTTGGTCTTGGAATTTTTATTGTATCATTTCATTCACCTATGAAATCTATATCTTTCTATCTATGATTAACAGTGTATAGAAAACTTACTTTTTTCCTACAGTTGATCAATTTTTGTCAAACGGACAACCCTTTATGTCTCTCTCTCTCAAACTTTTCATAACATAATACATGATATATTTCAGTTATATAAAGCTGACTTGCCACACATAAACCTCTATATTAATCTATAAGATATTGAGAAGTACCGAAAATCTATAGATCTGTCTTGTCGACCGACTATTCATAGATCTCTACATGCCTAACACTTTTCAATAATTTGAAATTTTTTTCTTTTAATCACATGATTTCACGTTTAGTTTTTCGTGTTTTTTTTCTGCAGACTGTATTTTCTTCAGTGTCGCGAAACCAAGAAATTGCAAATCGAATCAAACATCCGTTTCTATATATTTCTATATTGTAAAGCATACACAAGCCGTGCCCGGAGCAAAAATGTACGTAGTGCGGTGAATATGGTGCATTGGAGCAATATATAAACTACTCGGCAAATTGCGGAAATATTCCGAAAGGAGATGATAACACACTGCCAAGTTCCATGTGCATGTAATCGGAGAAGTGTCAATGGTTGACGTCTTCAGTCATATTATAACATCCCGCACTTTTCAAGTAGAACGTTTCTCCATATTCTGCGGGAGCAATAAGCAATGGCCAGCCCTCATAATGGGAGCAATTCTTGAAAGAGATATATAACTGAGTATAGAAGCGTTCCAACACAGAGAAAACATGACAAACCGTTCAAATGAAATAGATTAAGTTTACACATCTTGTATTATTTTCCTATAGAGCGGATTTTTATGTAGATGATGAATGGAAAACTATTTTTGAAATGTTTACACGTTCACCTTTCCTGGGGGGTAAAAGTCGGCCATTTCGCAGGTAGCAGACACTCTGCATGATTGAGAGCAATTCTGTGCTGTCTCGGCGAAGTACGACACGTACGATACCTCTACAAAGATACATATACACATCTTTAAAGGATAGGTGCATTTAACACGTAGCATATACACATCTTTAAAGGATAGGTGGATTTAACACGTAGCATATACATACAAACATACATGTGCCATTGTCAGGGCTGTATCTGGTAATTTCAAAGGGGGTCTTATTTTGAAAAATTGACCCTTTGCCCCCCCCCCTCCCCCTTTAAGTTGATCTTATTTGTGACATGGAAAACATGTTTTTAGAACATTGATTAAACATTGATTCCAAGGAGACCATTTTCGACCAAAAAAGCGATTGTTGTCGAACCTCCAGACCCTTCCCTTGAACATATTTTAAACTGAAAAAATATCTTCGACCAGAATAGCATGATCATGGAATGCCTAAAGTACCATTAAATTAGATATATAAAAATGCACATAAGACAAATCCTGAACATGTTTAAAAAGGGAGAAAAAATTCAGTCAGTATGGCGAGGTCGTAGAATGCTTAACGTAACGTTTAAAAACTTACAGAAATATAGAAATAACACATAAGAACATGCACTGTATTTGTAAATAATCCATATTACCAAAGTACTGCAACTCTAATTCAGTTTGATTATAGCTGTAAAATACCCTTACCTGTAATGAATTCATAAATACGGAACAGGGATAAATTTTGGAACTCCATCATTTCACAGCCACATTCCGGCGCCATCACGAAGGCACTCCAGCCAACGCTGTAACCTGGAGTAATAGGGAGATTTAGATTGATTCCACGATTTACACCTTCACAAACAAGGTACAATTATGAACAGCATGTCTTCACTCATTGACAGGACAGCACACATTATACCTGTCTGTCTTACTTCATCCAGTATGTAACAACTATAAGACGGCGAGTGGTACGTGCCGCCCTTGCATGCCTTGTCATTTCGGCATTTCACAACGCAGTCGTCCAGGCTGTGTTTCAATTCCGCTGAGAGAAACGTGCCATCGTTGAAGTACACGTTTGTCATCACCCAGGCCATCGTACCGTTATGTGTGCAGGCTCCAGAATGGAAAATATGAAAAAAGTACAATATTAAGATCAGTTATTCTTTCTTATCTACATATATTAATTTTTTTTACTCATTTGTTTGTTCATTTAATATGCACTTGAGGTACAGTCTGACAACAAATGAAAAGGTGTCGGTTGCTGTCCATTTGCTAGTGATGACCCGCGGTTTTCCAATGAAAATAGAAGTAACAAAGTATTATACAAGGATCTTATTGCACCTCCAATCCTTCCTCTAAAAAGGTCTTTGCATTATATTTATTTGTGGCAATAGTAAAATCTTTTATCTTTGATCTGGATTCAATTATAGCCTTAAAACCTCTCACCCTCTGAATCTTACCGGAATTTATTCGTTTCGTTACGTCACCGGTGGTAGTGCTTTGAGTTTTTGTTCTCAGTGTTGAATGTGCCGTTATGAAATACATCGTTGTTGAGGGTGAGCTTCCCTTGAATTTTTCGGGGCGCTCTGTTGTGTTCGTGTTTACATCAATTGCTCTGGAAGCTAAAGAATTGATTGATAATTCAACATGGGATGTTTGGATGGGATAGGCTACTTCTGTTTGGATTTTAAAGCATGCTTGACAATCTAGTGGTTGCAATCAGGACAAATGGTCACTGACTATAGGTCAGTTGTCTCCAAGAAAATCATTGCAATTGCCAGTGCCCATTTTGAACAAATTGTATAAATTGTTATGGTACAACATTTTGCAGCTATAAAGTATTTTAATAATCTGAGAGTGTTAACTTGCAACCTGTGAATTCCCTGGCCAGGAAAGCTCCTAGGATTCCAAGGGCAATCAGCGTCAAGGTCACGGTAACAACTACCAGTGTCCTCTTCTTCACTGATGTAGCCTGTCCTGTCTTGGCTGCACCAACGTCATCTACACTTCTGTTAATTATGGGAGGCAGTTTTCTCGGAACCGTGTACTCATTTTCTTTGAAACACATAGATAACATCAGATTAAATAGGAATTCCTATTGAACTGAAAGGGTAGATATCGAGAAAATGCATTTAAACGGAATTTCGGTGGTAAATCTGAGAACATTCTAATTGTGGATGCTGTTTCCTGCTTCAAGCGTAGAGCCTACATATAGGTCATAACGTTACTAGAGATTATTTGAGATAGGTGTTTTGAAAATTGGTAAAACTTAAAGTAAGATAAGACGATCCAGGCATAACTGGAGTGTGAAATGCATTATTAACCAATGTTTTTTTAAGTATATATTCAATACTTTTTGTAGGCCTATAGCCTACTTATTTACATACCCGAGCAAGTAGGCCCCTACTGGAGCGTTTCATATATTTAGATATTGCGATACAGGAACAACAAGTGCCATCCATGTCTTTATAATGTATCGTTAAAGTTTTAACGGCATTATTTTGAGAAAAGCAAATGGGCCTGATTAATTAGTTCTTCCTGCCTAGAAGTGAACTGCCGTTACCTGTGGCGGCGCTATAATGGCCGGTCCGATATCCATCCTTGGTACCCAGTGCCTCCTTTGTGTACCTTGGGCCATCATCTGGGCCACTGTGGCTGGTGTTCAGTTCAGAGAGAACTAATAAAACGAAATTAGCTAACTTAATTTCACCACGATGATGTTCATATCTCATTTTAAAAATATGGTAGGCCTACATAGTTTGGACGTGGACAATGTGCCACTATAGGCCTATTTATAGAACACTTAGAAATGTGTATAGTTTAATAAAGGGGAAATATTAATATAACAATTACCTGCGCTAATGTTTCCACTGTTTGTGTTTCCCGTCATGTTTCCTATTGCAGCCCTATTTATTTCCTACATATACAGCCTCTGGAACGATGGTATGGGAAACAGAGGGACAAAGAGGGCTTTTATTCACAATTAAATTACGCCAATTCAGACACCCCTAACACTTACATCATGTATTACGAAAATGTATCATTTCTGTTACATTCAAGGGATCGGACTTCAAAAGATAGAACAAGGCGTTACATGTCTTTGTGCTCTGCCATATGCCTTATGGTATTATTACTGACAGCTTAATCAGCACACAATGTACACAAGCAATACATATGTTTTGGATCTAAAGTAATTCCGTTACACCATAAACAGTATAGTACCAGATACGGTGCCTATTCACTGATGGAGGAATTCGATACAAATTGCAATATACTCTGTGTTCTTGGCAATAACAGACATAACGTGACATGTCTCAACTTCTATCAGAGATGACAGAGTGTGAGCGAGAGCGACGGCAACTTCTAATGGTGTAAAAAAAGTAGTTTCTGAAAACTGCGAAAAGTTTACGAAAGCCATAATTGCGGAGTGGCAAAGTTGGCTACAGGTGCTTTCGTTCAACTGTCATCAATAGCGGGTCCGTGGTTTTCAAGGGGACAGGAAGGGGGCACAGGAAAAAAATTATATATAGTAAATCATAATAACAGACGAGTCTTTTCACCATAATATGCAAGACACAGGGATAGCAAAATTGCTTGTTTTGGTCACTTGTCCCTCACATTCCTGCTCTTTGGTTTTATTTGTTTCAGTTCTTTCATTCTTATTACTATCATAAGTATAACTATTATTGTATTTTAGGGGGTGGAAGGCGCTGGGTTACCTCCGAACCTAAGAGATAGGCACGTGCTCTCCATTTTTTCTCTGTTCCGTATTTACCGCAGAACGAAAAAAGATACAGATAGTAAGGATTTTAATGACTCTTGCACAGATTCCCAGGAAAATGGAACAGTCAGTAAGAGTAAAGGCTTGTTTCCTACTCTTGTAATTAATTTGCGAAACATACACAATTTCAATTTTAGATGATTGGGGAAAGCACAAACAAGAGTTCATATTTCACGCTGACAACAGATGTGAAACACAAGTCGATACCAAGATGAATCTGATATGTACAGTGTAGTGTATAATAACTGCATTTGCAAAAAAAAGAGGCGTTTATTTTCTGTTTCAATGTGTATATTATTGCAGAATATGATTAACTGCATGTTTGTACAACCTTTTCAACAAAAGTCTATTTATTCTCTCCACGACCAGAGTAAAGAATTCTGAGTACAGCTTGAAATTCCATGTCAGCTTTTCCCAATTTTGTCTACTGTGCAATTGTTGTATACCCATCTGCAGACTATTACATAAAAAGCATTTTGTACAGATGATCGTGATGTATTTAGTTTCCTCTAATATTTACATGAGATGCAATTACATCTACTACATGTACCCTTACATTGGACCCATTATTGTGACTCAATCGATCATCTGATGCTGGTGCCCCGGTTTTGGCAGCTAATACGCACAAAACTTTCATATTTGCAATTATAAAATTCAGTAAAAAATAATACGAAGCAATAATTCTTAGGCTTTAAAGTTATCAATCTCTCACAGCGAACCGGTGTGATGGTTCAGGTTGTCATTTAACCGTTTGATGTCCAGTTTTTAATTGTGATCTGGCTTAACATGCTGTGCTAATGTTATGCCCTTACTGAAATTTCCTGTAGGGTCCTATAAGACGCCCTGTAGGAAATTGGTCCAATATCCTTAAGGGTTCTAAAAGACGTGCTAGAAACCCTATAGTAAATTAACCCAAAATCCTACAGTGTCTTATAGGTCATATCTCCTAGATATGAATAATGAATAGAGTCCCTAGGAGTCCTCGAGGATTCCTGTAGTCTCTTAGTGTCCTAATGGACGTCCTACAGGAAATTTTTATTAACGAAAATAAACGACAGTCACTGCTGAAAAATCATTTATGTGCATGTGTTCGGAATTTAAACGCAATGGTAACAGCAATCCACCACACAACATTGTATTCAAAGTTTGGTAGGTGTCACCAAAATTCTCATCAAATGTGACATACTAGCTGTAGTGTATAGAGGCATTAATCAAGTGCCAGAACATTAACATAATAAATAGATATCGATCAGCAATTTTTTCAATATATCATAGAACCACTTTAAAAGAAAAACAAAATTATCGCCGGAAGTCTTGAAAGACAAATAGGCGTTCATAACAACATGCAATCAGTTTTTAAAAGTATTCATCGCGTCTGATAGATTTAAAGCCAAGGTTGTCCTTTTATACAGGATGCCAATCACGTGGTGGACAATGCAGCTACATACTCGTCTTCTGTGAAAACTGAAAATATAACATATATGGTGTAAATACTTGTAACAAAAAGGGAAATATTAACAGTGCAATAACAGTTTATTACTCCTAATTCTATCTTCCTAAAACGCAAGGAGAGAGAGAGGGAGAGAGAGACAGAGAGTAAGGCAAAAACTGAAAGAGAGAAGCCACAGTAGACCACGTAAATATTGTATTTTCAACTTATTTTCCATCATACCTGAACGCTGAATCTCAAACTCCTCTCCAGTGTCCATACATAGGTCCTTAAGGTTTTGAAAGTCAACATACCGTCTAGATTGAAATAAATAAAAATACCTGTTTTACTCTAAATTCTGTTCAATGTTACTATTAGTTTTGTTTCAGCTGAAGGCAATCATGTTTTCCCCAGATTCTGATTATTCATACTCGTAAACCACGTACAAAATGTAGGCACAGAGAAATAAATCAAAAAAATAAAAAGTAAGCAAATAGTCATGCATATATTTATGTTTATGCTGGATTCTTTTTTTCCTTATTCATCTTAATCTATTTTTATAAACTAAAATGCAAAGCTTTCTTTTCATGAGTTGCTAGATAACACAGACCATTTTAAAACAACAAAACATTCGTTTCCTGGTGCAAGTTCTTTTTGACCCACATTACCATTCAACTAAATTATAAATATGTATGCTGATAATAAAAAATTGGTAAATTATGCTATCTAGATGCAAAATTACATCATGACGTCATCATGACATCATAATGACGTCATGCTTTTTTCCATTAAACTCTTATTTTGATTTACGTCCACGTAACTTTATTTCACTGCACTGTACCTGACGGAGTCGATCTCTACTTCCACTCCAGACCTGGGGTTTGCTTGGTACTCCTGCTCCAACCTCATGTTCACATTCACAGGGTACAATACCCATGATCCATTGCGGTTCCATTGCCACCAAGCATGGCCATCTTGAAAAAAAAAAAACAAATGTGGACATATCACCACCATAATAAAATGAAATATAATGCATATCAACCAATAATACGTGTCAATTTCCATCCATAATTTATTTATACAGGTAGGTAAGGTCTTTCACAGGGATTACGCCATTACACATGATCGGCAGGTCACCAGCACAGCAGCAGCCACAACTCTGTACAGGTTTGTATCATATAGTAAGGTGGACTTTTGCTGGGATGGCAACTGATTGATATCTATGATATCATACAAAGCTTTTCATAAGCCGTTTTACTTTCGTCTTCAGAATTAAAATGAACAGCAGTCAGGGGCAATTATAAGCTTACATGTATTTAGATAATACGCACAAATATATCAAATATCAAAGTAAATTAAGGCACACTAAAGTATATTAAAGGCTGTGCTTATCGTACTTTCTTGGCTAGTATTAGGCATCCCACCGTCATTGGCTAGAGTCTTCGGTTGCACGTTGTTGTCAGATGAAACTACGTCACTAACATAAAAAACAAATAAAATCACTCAAAATAATTATCTCACCACCCTTAAGAATGCGTCACTGTTTCTGAAATTATGACAGGTTTTGTTGACATATGACTTAATTTTTCACAATAGTAAATGTGCTCCTGGATATAAGTATACACCCTATTGATTGTAGCAACTTTATAGAAACTACCTTACAAATGGCCTCGATTTGCAAAATGTTCACAAAAAATAAAATAAACATTTTACGGTCTATAGAACTAATAGCCTGTGCCGTAGTTAAAAGGGAAGGGGATTGTTAGGGCAATACAAGATAAAGTCAACATATACGCACACGATCGTCAGATCAATCAGTCCTTCGTGTCCATATCGGTACATGTTGTAAGAACCATTTGGCCACTGGACCTGTGAAATAGAGTAGCAACACGTTGAAAAATTGCTGGTCCGTTGAAACAGTGGCCGTTCAAGATTTCAAATAGTTTTCGGTAATAATAAAAGATATATTTTAAAAACACTTAAAAAAGGTGATTGAAAATGCCAAGACAAAAATGTAGACGACATTCCGTTAATCTTTCATTTTTTGTCTAATGTTCCTTTTTTTTGTTATACAGAAGGAATATAATCAAAAAATTTAAAAACATAGGCCACATAAAGATATTTGTCATACCCAAACAGCTCCTCTCTGTTCAACCTTATACACGGTTCCAACGTTCCCCTCGCCGCCATCTTGGTCTCCCCATTCCCAATCTGGGCCTTTAGGAAACAAAATATAGTTCAAAGAATTTTGAAAAATGACTGGCGACAAAATGGCTATTAAGCATACAACGTAGAACTAACACCCTTGAGTGAATAGACTGTTATTACAGTTTTATTACCACTGTCTTAACACCCAAAAAAGGTACGAACAGGTATATCTTAACAAGCAATTGGTGCAATGTAGTTTGTTATCTTCCATGCCATGATGCCACCCTCATCTTGCAATATGGTTAATTATATGAATTATATTACATTTCGTAAACCGCTACACAGATCTATATCTAATTAGAGGTGCACGTGCATTCTAAATATGACAGCAAAATGTACCTCTTACAACTTTCACACCAACATCGATCAACTGATCTGCGCGGAGGATTCTGGGTTCGTCTGTAGGCAAGACGTCATAGCAGTTGTTTTCACCAAATCTGTAGACCCCAATGCCGTCTGTGTAGTCCCATTTCACAAGTACTTTTCCTAAAATTTAGAGGAAAGGGGGTTGGTTTTATATCTTAATTCTCTTGTCTTTATTACGAAGTCACGTGGAGAGTTAAATGGGGCCAGATAGCTACACAATTTCACTTACAATCAGTAAAATTCAAAGAATATCTGAGTATATGTAAAAAAAATTGCGATTTGACAAATTATATTTTGCAATTTAGGTGCCCAACGCGTATTATTTGATCTAAAGGCTGTGTCACATACTTCCTTTCTGATGTTCGACCACTGTTCCGGGTCCATCGGCGTCTTCGGACTGCCCCGCCCAGTCCGGCCCCCGCCTGACCCTACTCCCCAGGGGCAGTTCCACTTTAAGGGAGGGGTCTGAGTCAGTGTCCGACCCGTCGTATCTCTCAGTCGCTCTTTTCTCCGTAGCCAGTGCAACGAGCATGCTGTACATTTCGTTCTTTAATAATAATAATAATAATAATAATAATAATATATGCATCGGCTGTAAAATCGCACTTTTTTACTTACGAATGCTTAAAATTCCTGTTGAAGTTCACACCTTTCAAAGACCTACACGCCACCATTACTCTGCATTATTTTCATAATCTTGCAGTGTTTTGGAAATAGAATAATCAAACCGAAACCATTATGCAATAATCTGAAGGAAAAAAACATTCAACATTACCACATCAAATTCGCTTAGGTCCTTCTGGTTGATCTCCCCGGACTTCGTGGCCGTCAGCCAGTTTCGGAACGTTTCCTTATCCTGGGCTGCCAACTGCTTCATGGTGGACGTATCTGCACGATAAAACTGACAGTCAATAATTATACTTTTTCATGCTTATAATATTTTTAGAGGCTTTACAAAAACTATATTTGTAGCGGGCATCATTTCTCTAAAAGAAAAGAGACTTCAAATAATATCTTATTCAACATGCATCACTGTTGATGTAACTGACAGTCAAACATTATTTCAAATACGTTCTTTCTTTACTGTCTTTTTTACTGTCGATAATTTTGTCCGATAATTTTGTACTTTTTCATGCTTAAATATTTTTAGACGTTTTACAAAAGTACATTTGTTACGGGCATAATTTCTCTAAAAGAATAGGACCCTTTATTCCCATACCTCGAAAAGGAGCAGCAAATCGGTAAACCCATACCTGAAACATTATGTAGATTGCAATTATTCAACATGTTTAACTAATTTTCCATGTACCTACATTGCACTTTAAAACCGGTATCATCATATATTTTATTACGAAATGTCGACTTACATGTAGTTTAAAAACGTACACTCTTTATATCATATAAATAAGTAAAGAATCTTTTTCCCCAGCCGGAATTTGTCAAATGACGTTTAGCCTATTTTTTTTCATGACTTTCATCGATCCCAATGAAATCTTTTAAGAGTATTAAAAAAATGGCCGTGCAAGGAATTTCTGATTGGTAACCTTAAACAACTATCTTAAATACTATATTAAATACAATGATGTCTAATAGATTGATTCTTTGGGTAAATATGGGTAAATATTTAAAAATATATATATTGACTTACTACTCTTCGGTAGTATCCTCCAATTCTGTCCACAGCCTCTGGGTCGTCTGCTCGCATATACTTTCCTTTCCCTATCTTGGAGGCGGACTCCAAAAATATCTTCAAGTGGAATGGAACAAAACAATGTGAATTACGCTGTACATCTCTTTTATTCACGAATGATAAACATCACGTGCATACATATGCACACACACACACACACACACACACACATAGCACGCACACACACAACCACACACGCTGCATGTTATATTCTTTCTTGTCACTGTAACATATCAATTACGTTTAAGATGTAGAATGTTCCGGTCTCACATTTCACTCACCGTATCAACTTTAGATCCACAACCAACAAAACTTATTTCGGCTTTATTCCTGTGGTCTCCATCTTGGTACACCTGAACTGCTGTCATCGTTTTGTATTTAGCCTACAGAAAAATACCATTGCTTAATTTTCTTTCAGCATTATATATATATATAGACTGTTGCCGAAGGTAACGTAACAAAAGGAGTGCACCATTTAAAATAGAAATTTGTTTCCCTAAAATTCGCGTTCTGCCATAAGCATGGTCATCTGATTATAAAAAAACTGAATTATAATATAGCATTTTTTCCCATTACTATATATATATATACGTAGATCGAAGAGTTTACTGCGTTCCCATGTTCTAAAAGCAAATTTAACAAAACCAATCTTTAAAATAACTAAATGCTGTATCCTAAAATAAAACAAGTGCAACTCACGGCCATATTTCCCTCCGTAAGGTCAGAGGTACGATATTCATCTTCGTCACTTGGTATGCCGTCTGTAAATACGTAAATACGGGGCGCCACCTTGCGGCCGGACACGTGGAGTGAAGCACCTGCAGAACGTACAGCATATTGAAATATGGACGAACATTGGATGTGAACATACGTGACTCCATTATTTATGAGGACGATCGCAGTGGCGGATTTAGAGGGGGGTCCTGACTCCCCTTTCGATTTCTCAAAAAATAATCACACAAAAGGTTCCCTCTTCAAATTAGAATTTTGACTTGCTGATTCAAAGTTCTAAACAGCACCATATGGCACGGTTCTCCCTTTAAAATACCACAAATTTTTGGCCAAGGGGGGAGGGGGGATTCGGCTTCGCATCTGCAGACCCCCCTTCAAATAAACTTGGATAGTTCGTTTGCAACAAGATTATAAACTGATTGATAAATTTAATGACTTATGAAAGTGCTTCCAATTTACAAATAATCATGCAACCTTACATAGAATTCCCTAATAAATTAATACCTACACGTTTTTACCAAAAGAATAGACAAGTACAGAACCAATTTTTATTAAAATCCATAATTGCCTAAATTAAAAAGCAAAAACACCCACACCCACCAGTAAGCATATTCCGGTACCTACCGTTCCTTTGTATTTCCCTCTGTGCTTCCTGAATGGCAGGTGCTAACGGTGACATTCCCTCAGATTTTAAAGTTTCTGAAAGATTTAATGATAATCAATATTATGTTGTATTTTCATGTTGTATATATCTCGTCGTACCTTGGAAATGCATGGCGTATCGAAATACGAAAGTGTGAATGTTTAAAAAAGTGAAATACTAAGATTATTTCGCGTAACGAAATGCCTAATTATGGTAGAGGCGCCGTAGCTTGAGTTGCACGCAGGCCTACTAATAAAATAGAATTCACAGGAAAAAAAAAACATTATTTACGTGTAAGAGAACTGAGGTTTGTCTAGAGCCGCAGTGACGCTTGGGTATCAACATTGTTTTTCGTTTTGATTTATAATTTAAATTTCACCTCACGTACCCAGAATCCTCCTGGCTCTTTGATAGTCACATGACAGGGATACTAGGACACGTGACTGTCTATATCCGCCAACAGTAATGAGAGAGACGTTCTCAGTGAAACCATAGATGTCAGCACTGTACTCCATATCTGGAGAGGAAGAAGTGAAAATGCACCTCACGAATGACATTTTGAACATAAGCCATTTATTCGTGTGAGAAATTGCTTTTTTCCAGACAAAATCCGATTTGGCGGTTTAAATCTAGGATAGGACACCTTGAACAAGGAGAGTCTTCAAAGGCCAAGTCATTGTGCTATATAGTTACAAAAACACATATATTCGGTTTAATATGACAGAATGTGTTAAAAGGGCCACCTACTGTCCAGGATACTTTTCACGGCCTGTATCATCTGGTCAAAGGCCTCTCCGGCCATGCTCCCAGAGGTGTCCAACAGGAGCACAGTGTCCAGACCGTTGGACCTTCCGTCTGGACGTACAACGTTTCTTCCTCTATCTATAAGGAAAAGGAACAACAGTCCATGAGGTATTACTCACAACATGAGATATTACTCACAACTGAAAAGAATAATTTTGAGAATTACTCATTTTGTTATTGTTAAGAGTTGGGCAAGTAGTCAAAAAGCGACGAAGCAAACATTTTTACCATACCCATCTCCTAGCCTCAGTCAAAATGGTTAAGAAATAGATTTAAAATACTAAAATTTTTACCATACCCATCTCCTAGCCTCAGTCAAAATGGTTAAGAAATAGATTTAAAATACTAAAATTCCTATTGGTCGTTACACAGGGGCGGATCCAGGATTATTTGAATGGGTCCGTTATCTTAAGCGTGATAGGCCTCGGATACGAAACCAACTCCCGCCCCCTTAGCCTGGGGTTCTGGACAAACGATGCCATTTACGGTTTATAACTATTAATTCAACTAGTCAGAATTTTAATTTCAACAAGGAAATAATAGTGTGATTTTTTTCGGGAGCTGAAAGGAGGATCCGGACCTTCTGACCCCCCTAAATCCGCCACTGTTGCATACAACCATATCTTGTCCACGTAGGGTGAGCAAGAACTAAGATGCTGTATCCAGAATATGGTATATCAGAATCTTACTTTGAGTTGCTGTCAATGGAGCGGTAGTTTTCTCTGCCTGGGCAGTCAACGGTTGCTCATTTTGGGACAGGCTCGCCTCAGCTTGGGGGCTCTTGGAATCTTCACGAGGATCATCAATATTAGACGACGCATGTGGATATTCACTGGTAACTTCTCCTTTTGCGATATTTGTCAATTGCTCCCGCGACTGCTTTCTTCCCAAACCTTCGCGTGATCTACCAACATCCTGTAGGGCTTCTTCGTTAAAATTGACAAGTATTTGCTCTTCGTCCTGTAATGGTGCTTTACCAACCAGAACGTTTGGCTGATTCGCTCGATCAGTTTGAAAACCAATAGATTTCGAATGAAGTTGCTTCATCAAGCCAGCTTTCTCTTTGTTTGCCAAGTCAAGATCAGACTCTAACTTCGTCGCTTTTTTCTTTTCTTCATCATACATTTTTTTAATACGTGCAATTTCAGCATTTTTATTTTCTAAAACAGTCCGCAAACCCCTGTCACTTTGATCTTCCAATGCAACTTCAAGGGAAATACACTTCAACCGCACTTCTTTTAATTCCCCTTCAAGTGAACTGATTTCAGCATCTTTCTTTCCGATTCTGTCAATCAATTTGGATACTTTAACGCGGTGCATTTTCTCTCGTATTCTGGCCAACTCGCGAGCACGCTCCAATCTGACGTCTTTCGCTGTGAAATCGGACAACTCCAGCGGGAAATTAGACTGAAGTCTAGGAATGAGATCCGGGTACCCGTTGGCGCAGGCCAGGCGCACCAGGTCCTTGGGAGAAACGTCAGAGTATCGGGTGACGTCACCAAAGACGGTCAGATATGGACTGATCTTTACCTCTGTGTGCAGTTTTTGGCATTCAAAGTATAAGTCGTCCCTGGCCACTTTGGACAAGGTATCTTTAACAAAAATGAAAAAAAAAACACTTTCTATATTTTAATATAACATTTAAAAGTGTAATGAAAACTATTTTTCAACAAAATAAAGAGGCAGTTTATCAATTGGATATAATTATGTATGTATGATTGTACATCCAGATATACAGTGTAGTCCATATTAATAATTAAGGCAGAAGTAAATACATGTAGAAACGACACAAACCACCACCAGGTAAAACACTACCATATACTCATGGAATGACGGTAATGGTATAATTCCCTGTAATTTTAAAGCTATTACCTGCTAGAAGACGTTTTCTTGCCGCCATATAGCCATTCCAATCCAGAGAAGAACTAAGCATGACCACTAGCTCATCGTCTGGCACTAAACCACGAACCTCATCCGTCAAAATCACGCGAGACAAGGCATCAGACAGTGGTGACCTCTGTCTGCTGTGAAGCCATGTCCAAAACTTGTCCAGCTGTTCAATATTCCAAAATACGAGATCGATTTTGATACTTCCGGGTCTTATTCGGGATACAATGAGGCCCAAGTGCTCCATGACCTGCACCAATTCGGGGGTTAACTTTTGCAATTGTTGATGGATTTCCTGACTGGCCGCAGGGGCGTTCCTTACTGACCTCCCAAATGCTCTCTTGACCTCAGCTGTTAGTTCCAGGAAGATACAACCTGAGGGGAATGAAAGTGTGCTGAGGTTGATTTTAATATATAGCATATTTCTACATATTTTCCATGCTCGTTATGTTTTTGTAACTCATATGCTATTTAACGCATAAATTAAGCCGATATCGATTAAAATGGACTTATGTGAGCTAAAAAGAAATATAACATACGTACGTAATTTATCGTCCAAGATACCAATCAAAAATTCTGTATGGGGTAATGAAGCCAAAGCTTTTCGAAAACCCCAGAATGCTCCTTCTGCCTTCGCGGGCAATATCTTCGTTAGTAATATTTTACTCTGTTCAGCTGTCGTCTGTACGGATTCTAAACGCATCAACTCAGACGCGGAGAGGATGCTGTTTTCAAACAGTACTCCAATTACGCTGTTCAGGTCTGGGTGGTTTCCAAGAAGGCCGATGCAATCAACAAGAACTTTCTTCGACTTTTCTGTCATTGGTCCTAAAAATTAAAAGCACATAACACTAGCATATGACGATATTTAGCTAATCTAGACAGTCATTCACAATATAATGTAAGATTTGATAGAAAGTGATAAAAATTTACATGGACCTGACGTGAGATCTGTTAAAAATTATAAATGTATTGCACCAGTTTTATTTAAATGAATGAAACATTCTTTTGTTATGTATATAAATATGTACGTTTTAATATGGCAGAAAACTTCTCCTCAGTGTCAGGTTCCCCCTTGTTAGCTCCTGTCACCTCCGTGTCATCCTTTTTTGCTTCACTTCCCATCTCAGCTGTGTAGATATCTGCGATAAAAAGAAAACGAAACAATTTCACAATAAAACATTTTAGCTTGTGCAGCTGGTTTAGAGTTAAATAAGATGAATTGGTCGTCGTTTTGAGAAACATTTGAACGTACTTACGCATGTACCATCCACCTACGTGCAGAAAGCCTGAATGACTGTTAAGATTCAAGAAAAATGTTCGACAATAACATTGTCATGCTTAACAATTTGACCACGATGGCCGGATAAGACTGAATGAAATCACCCAGGAAGGAAATAATAGATGTGAAACTTAATTGTAGTATAAATCCCCACCTTCTGTACTGGCAATCCTATCTCCATCGTTAATGTCACAGTCACCAAGGCCCTCCAATTGATCCGGTATGCTTCGAATGGATTCGTCTTCAAAATGCCCCCAAGTGTCGAGCTGGGTTTCCAGTCCGTGAACTCTTTGTCGTAATTCTTGCATTTCAAGATCCAATTTGGGGTTATCTTTGTCACGCTTAATATTCTCTAGGGACAAAGTCATCTCTGAAAGGATTATTCTGTGAGTTATTGTCTCTTAATTTTTTTTTTTTTTTTTTGCGAATAGCTGAAAAATATAACATGCTCCCTTTCTCTTTCTCTCTCTTTCTCTCTCTCCCTCTTTCACACACATACACAACAATTAAAAAAAATAATTAATAAAATAAATAATAAAAACGGTACGTATATGCACAAACGTCAATATAAAAAAGTTCGTGGTAAATTTATGATGTCTGTAAATGCCTTAAGGTTTCTCCTGGTTGGAAGATGGCACTGCCCCCTATAGCCAAAATATTCTTTTGAAAATTAAAATGTACTGTTTCCATACAAGGCGCTCTCTTTATTTATCAATGCCTTGCTTATGACTTTCACTTTCAATTGAGAAATGATGCATTATTTAAAAAAAACTCATAATCTGCGCATGCGCACCCAGTAACTGTTTTTTAGCATCTACCATATCTGACTGAAGGATCGTGACTGCTTCTTCGAGTCCGTTAATTCTCTCAAATACTCCCTGAAATCATGAAAAAAATATTTAATGGCACATTCCTTCCTATAGCTTCTATTCTACTTTCACTGTTGTGATGAAAGTTATAATGCTTCTCTGTCGCTACTTTTATGTTATTTAATAATAATAATAATAATAATAATAAAAATAATAATATTAAATACACAGTGAAAGGGTTATTTTTATTAAAAAGTAATGGCATTAAAGTAAAGAGAAAAAATGTCCAATTTTAAAGCTGTGTAAGGCATATAAAATGTTCAATCATTATATTTTGCAGAAACATGAGTTTTTACTGATTCTTTTGAATAATCTGCTTAGCTTATATAACTCAGTTCAGTCATGCACATGGTTATCAATTAATTAAGGTAACAATTTTGTTTTGGATTAAAAAAGAATAATATCTTTACAGTTCCCTTTAAATTAAATTTTTTAACTTGACCAAGTAAGATACCTACCCCTACACCAGCTCCTCCCCCTGACTGCCGCACAGCTAGTAACTGTGCGAGAAAGCTGGCGTCGCCCTCGGCGTTCGCATTGGCCATCCTTTGGGCTTGCATCAGAGGCGGTGTTCTCTGAAATGTGGTCAGATAAAATCAATCAAAAGGATAATTCATGCTTTTCATTTAACAAACCCGTGACGGATTAAATGATACTGGTATTACGAGATTTTGTTATATATTGTAATTATTAAAGGGAAAATAAACATTGTTTAATGTGTGATTATTATATGCCCTAGAGATACAGGTTAACCATATACATGTACTACGTGCGTAATACTTGTCATGCACTCAGCAGGCAGGCTTAATAAAAATATTGGATTAATGACCTTTGAGCTTTGAATCGATCGTATTTTAAAAAGAAAAACCCTGAAGTTGGTAAAAATCCCCTTGCTACCGGTACTCCAAAATATTCATCATTTCGTCTTAAATCCGTACTATATTTGAAATATTCATCATCTTCCCTCTCGGTTGATAGCATTAATACGTTGCAATGGCAAGTGAAACCGTTGCCGCGCTCTTTGTTGACGCGCAACACCTATTGATCTAATAAAGAACAGTTAAACCAATCGATGTTGCTAAAAGTGGCGAGCATTCATTTCACAGAGAGAGAGATGATCACGACAACGCAGTAGATAGGCCTACTCCATCGCAGTAGACTACTGCAATCATACTGCAAACATGCCTCAAACCTGCTTCGATTTGGGAGCTAATTAGCATATTTGAAACATGCTTCTATCATGCTGCTAATCTACTGCATTAATGCTCCTCTCTGTACAAACTTATGTACTTTTTGGAGTAGAATTGCAGTAGGCTATACTGCATTTCTACTGCAAATATGCTCCACACCACTACTGCGTTAATGCTTCTTTGCTACTTCGACACTACTGCATTTTCGTGCGGAGAGAGACAGAGAGACAGAGAGAGAGAGAGATTTGCTTACTCTTCCGGAACGACTCATTTTCTTCAACTAGTTGTCTATCCTCCACAACCTTAGTAAACAAAGTTAGAAATAAATGAAAAGTCTATATTAATAAAACACATGTAGACCTGTAGACGAACATACGTACGTTGTTTATTTTTATTCAAAAATCTGTTTCCTAGCTAGAGCGGACTGAACCCAAACAAAGAAGCCTGCAATTGCCACCTGACATAAGATACTGGTATTATAAGCACAAGCATATTTTACAATGACAATGAGGTACTTTTTATGTTTAAAGTTTACCGGTATACTGATGTGCATTAAGAGGAATTATGTGTAAAATATACTTTTTAATATACTCAAATAATACATATAAACAGTTGAGACGCTGATATTGCAATGTTCATAAATACATGTATGCCTTTGAACGCTGTTGGCTATGTACGTACTTCGGACTTTGGTAAAGATTAACCAAATCATTATTGTGACGTTGATTTAAAACTTTCCAAATGTAAAATTTGGTACAAGAGAGTGGATTCCGCTCAGTCACTACAAACAATGGCACCCATCGTTGTCTTGTGGCATACTTACCCTACACCTGTTCAATATTGTCCCCTCCAAAGTGTTTTGATGCAGTCCTTGCCCCTGTATTTACACAATAGGGCCTACTTAATCCAACCCAGTGCGTCTTAAATGCAATATGACATTCCATTATCCTGAATAGACCATGTTTCACTTTGCAATGACAACCAAACATAAAAACGCATCCTTTTTCACAATAAGTATTTCTTTCAGTTTTAGTTCTGTACAGAAGTGTATTTAAAGGACTGGGAAATTCCAGTCATGTGACATCAAAGAAAAACCCCCTCTTCTCCCAAGCAGTGCGCTAGTTGCGATGACCTTTGACCCCTGTGGACTGCTGTTGCATTTCACGGCTAATTTTACCGATTTATCTATTATTGTTCAAATCAGCTCTGTTACATACCATTTTTCTTTTCCTTGTCAACGCGCTATGTATTGTTATAAAACGTACATGCATAAAACACAAAAGAGGAACACGAATGCATAAAGGATTTTATTTACATTATAAACACAACACTGACAGTTATTTGACTGTAAAAAAGGTATATTGCACTACTTCTGCATTCTGTCTTTTCAAATAAATAAAGCAATATTTGGTATGAAAACCAATTATAATGTAAGCAACATTCGTAATAAACGCAAAATACAAAATGTAGTACATGTAATTACTCCGTAATTCATTTGTTTAAATGAATTGTGTTTTTACAACGTGTAAGATTTATTGCCAGTAATTTTAATTTAGGTGGTTATAACATCACAGCAAAGTCATATAGTCCACCACATTTATAAATAAAAAATGAAACAGCAAAAACATAAAAGGGATAACAACTGTTTGTTTTGGTCAAAATACAAATTTTCCTGGGGTAAACGATGACTTTCGCATAATTACCAATGGTTAGTGAATCCATTCCTACATTTATTTATCATGAAATATGAATCTCCTAAGATGAGTTGTTATCCCTTTAAAACTTCTAAGCAAACATCAAGCAAAAGTTTGACAAAAGCATTCTTCTCCTATTCGAAAATGAAAATGAAATATACCCTTAAGGTTTCTGAGCATAGATTAAAGAAAGGGTTCTACTCTGTACATGTGCATATACAATGTAGATGTTTTATGCCATTTTTGTGGCACATTCCCACTCCACATGAATGAGAACATGACAGTCTTATGAATGTATTTCCACACTTATGTCAAACTTAAGATTTTATTCTGAAATGACCAATGTTCATTCCTTTGATGCCTCATATTCTTCCTGTGTCATAACTGTAACAAATCAAATTAAAAATTCTTATATATATTATAACTAAATTGTTATATTATAATATACTTATTATATATAAAAATCTTCAAATGTACATCACAAGTCAAGAATGCTTGTAAGAACTCCAAATATAATATATTACACACACTAAAATTAATTAATTAATTAATTAATTAATTAATTAATAAAAACTGACACAATTACTTTTCCATAATTTCCAAAAGCTTCATGCTAATTTCTTACCCAATCTCTGGACTTCAAATGTTTCATCAATGTCACTGCAATGGTCTGTCATGCTTGAGAAGTTAATGTGTCGCCTGGAGAAAGCGCATATACAACATATTATTTCTAAATTCTTTCAAAATTGGGCGGTACAGTTTTTGGTACCACAACAGTTTCACTGGTCTAAAAAATGGCTTAGGGTGTTACATTACCCATTACAAGTCCCAATTTATCAATCCAAATTGGACCTGGGGGGGGGGGGGCTCTGTTTAAGTGACTGTCTTAAGTAAAGGCCAGGCAATCTTTCAAGATGGTGTGAATAATAAAAAGTGAACCTCAAAATGTGAAGAGGGACTTAGGGCTAATTCCCAACAAAACTATCATTCCACAACATTTACTGATCTAACTCCATAATGAATCTCACTGAATGCAATCAATTTAACAGATAAATATGGCTCCTCTTGTTTCCAACATACTTGCAAAATCACCAGCTTTCTGCATTCTTCTCAATGCTAGGAGGCATGTCTATCTGTTTTATCTGATTACATTCAGTGAGAGTCCCCATTGAGTTGGATCGGTCTTGGTAGATCAAGAGTTTCATTGGAAATTAGCCCTTAGACCCCGTTCCCATACCCAGATCAATCTAGCAGGATCGACCCATTTCCGAGGGGGTAGATAGCTAATAAGCATTCAGCTTTAGCAGCTCTGATGTCCGACACACCTATTGAAGCTAATAGTGGATAATTAACTATCGTTTAACAGCTTCAGTGAGCGTGCCAGACATTTAAGCCACTTTAGCTGAATGCAATTTAGTGACACTCCCCTCGGAGAAGTGTCGATCCTACTAGGTTGATCTACAGGTATGGGAATGGGGTCTTACACTGACCTCAGTGAGTGAACCTCCACACTACAACTTCCTGTCCTGTCCCTCTTGTACGCCTGCTCTAACTGTCTGGACACGTACTCAGGGTACATTAACCACATGCCATTACTTTTCCACTGCCACACCACTATCATCCCACCTGGAATAATTTACAACATGTTATAGTCACTATACCTTATATGATATGCTATTATATACTTCAGCAGCTGTGCAGAGATATAGACCAAGATGAAATAAATATTGTGTATGATTTTTTTTTCTTTCTTTTTTTTTTTTTGTGTGTGTGTATAATCATAATAAAGGAAAACCTGCTACTTGCAGCACAGGCATGATATCCAGAATGTTTTATTCTTGTCTGTTGGTTCATTTGCTAATATATCAATATATTTACTTATTCATTACAAGGAAAATGGGATAAGCTGATGGCAGTGCATCCTAGTACTGTAATTTTCAACTGATTCAAATAATTACAGACTAAAGTACTTGTTTCAATATCAAAAATATTTTATCACCATTTCATTAACAAGTATATTAACTGGTTATATTAATTTAAAGGTAAGTAAAAAACGCTTCTTTGGTCAAGCAACAGCATCAAATTGATATACAGAGGGAGTCATGCTTAAGAAACCCTGTCTTTAAAAAAATTATTAGACTGTAGAAAACACTTACTATCTTCATCCATTTGAGGTGCTCCTCCTGATGCCGTACCACCAGCTCCTTCATCTTCACTAAAATAAATAAATAAATAAATAAATAAATAAATATTCTTGAAAAGGAAATTCATTCAAATACCATCATATTACTGGTAGATTTTGAAAATGCATAATAAACTAAATTGATTACAGTGTATATTATTACGTCTTTTGATTATAACTGTCATTGTATTGCTTCTAATTTATTTGCCGTAATTCTACCATAAAATGGGTGGTCCTGATACTATATCTATACAAAGTGTGTGTTTATGTGTGTGCATGCGTGTATGTGTGCCTGCCTGCACAAGTGACAGCAAGAATGTTTTTGCCATAAGTCTACTTTTATGTAATATTTTCATAATAGCTCCTCTCTGTTGGAGCCAAATTCCACTTGGCAAAGATCATCTTAACTTACACAATTGTTAGGTCAAATTTTCCATCATATCCAAACCTGTAGATGCAATTTTTGCCCTTAGGCCACCGCACCTGAAATCCAGGTCAATCCAAATAAAGTTATAATATTTCTGCTAATTAAACAAGTATTTTTAAAGATAAAATAAATAATTATTGGTCACAATGGGACTATTGTAATGGACAAGCGAGACAGGTCCCCTTTTTGCAGACAATATTGTGATATTAATAAACTAAGCAAGTTGAATTGAAGTACCTTAACTTTTCCATTTTCTTCAACTTTATACACAACACCAATAGTTCCATTCCCCCCATCTTGGTCACCGTATCTCCAATCAGGACCTAAATAAGAATATCAGAAATCAGTTCCAATTTTAGTCTTAACATCAAAACTGAAAATAATCATATTATAACTGAAAATCAAAAATTATTATCATCATTGGATATTATTATTTTGAATTTAATTATATTGCCTACAAAAAAAAAAAAAAAAAAAAAAACAAGAACAAAACAATGATAATTCAGCATAAAAAATTCACAAAATATGCATTGAAAATAAATAAAGAGAGAAAAAACTTTGTAGAGAAAAGAAAGAAAAACCTGCATCTGATTACTATCACTTCCACATTTATTAACCAAAGAACCAAAGGAAAAATATTTGTTCATTTAAAGAAAGAGTTCACTATACACGTTTCATTTTACCAGTAAAATGTACATTAATATCAACATTAATGGCTACCTACCTCTCTTCACTCTAACCCCCACATCTATCAGCTTGCCCTCATCCATTTTCTTTGCTTCCTCACAAATCCATACATCATATGCACATTCGGGGCCACCATATCTGTAGATGTTGTCATGGTCCGTATAATCCCAGTGTACACGCACCCAGCCTGCAAACAGAGATATCATATTTGACTGCACATTTAGGGGGGGGGGGTCAATTCTCATGTAAGCTTGCTAATTTATCAGAAAAACATAACTTAATCATAATCTTCATAGAAAATAAGAACTTCAATGATGAAAAAGAGCATTGTGAATTTACACATAATAAACAATTCTCATATATATATATATATATATATATATATATATATATATATATATATATATAAAGCCNTTTTTAAAAATAAAATGGAGAGAGGAAGCTAAGTTATTCACATCCTTGATTATACCAGCTCCCCACGGGCCGCCACCATGGGTGGAGCACTTTTTCATGGTGTACTGACTTAATTCTCCGATATATATATATATATATATATATATATATATATATATATATATATATATATATATTTTTTTTTTTTTTTTTTTTTAAAGTAAAATTGTTCTTCCTGTACGAGTATATATATATATATATATATATATATATATATATATATATATATATATATATATATATATATATATATATATGACATACTTCCTTTGCCATAACCCACGACTGTCCCCGGGCCTTCGCCATCTTGATTCTCCCACTTCCAGTCTGGCCCCCTCACCACACGGGTACCTATAGGCATGGAGACCTGTAAGGTAGGGTCCGCCTCCCCCTCTACCTCATGGTGTCTCCTGTCCTCCTCTTTCATATCCAGAAGTAATTGGTAGATCTCTCTCTGTGGACAAAAATATATACAATGTAAAGTAGAAAAGAACTCTGCCAACACACATCAGTTCTCATTACTACAGGGTAACCGAAAAAAAAAAAAAAACAATCTATAAAAAATTTATTAAACAATCAATTCCATATAATACCTTCAAAAAAAAGAAAACATTCAATTCCATAGGATAATTACAAAAACAAAACCTACTTGGCAGGGGTAAATAGCCATTGTATCATTGTTGATATTTCTATATTTTAATACTTACTAGTTCATGGTCAGTTTTGTCCTCCTCCGTGAGTGGAAATGTGTTGGTGGCTTGAAACCAAGGCTTGAATGTGTCGAAACTTGTAAGACACAGGTCACGCATGCTCTCCGTGGCTGAAATATGACACATACTATATATATAAATACTGCAAGTGTACAAAGAAAAAATGGCCCATACTCTGCTAGTTTCTCAGTAATTGTCATTGATGAAATATGTGTATAAAAAATCAAATTTCAGTTTACACATTGGCAATTAACCTTATGGTTATTGATGCAATGCACTAACATGTAAACATTTTTAATCAATAACAATAGAGTTTAGTGTGGAGCAATTAAGGGTGCATTCCCAGAGATTTAGATCGACCTAACTCCCTGGGGGTTCACGCTAAATTGCAGTCAGCCGAGCGCGCACCATAGTTAATTACCCTCTTACAGCTTTTAGTAGGCGGGACAGACACTTAAGCCGGCTAAGCTGACAGTAATCTAGTGAGACTCCTCATAGGGATAGATCGATCTAAAATCTATGGGAATGGGGTCTAAGTATATTGCAGCAAGGAGTTACAGACATGTCTTAAACTGTCTATTAGCTTTGAGAAGGGGTAAAACAAGCTATTCATAACGTTATATTTTTCATTTCTTTTCATAATTTTTTAAATTTTTGGTGATCATCTATTAATAATGAATGGATCATCACTAAAATCTAATCATTTCTTCCTTGGCCCATTTGTGACCTATCCTATAAAGTTCATCAAAAATTGCTCATTTCTTTTTTGCTTAAAAGAGACAGACAGACAGACAGACAGACAAAAGGTAAGGAAAACAATACCTCCATTGGCAGATAAAATAAAATTGCAATTATACCAATATAAAACTTACTTTTGAAAGGAGCAGCAAACCTGCAGGCCAGGACCATTCTCCTGTAGTAAGCCCCCAGACCCCTCATGTCCTCTGTATTGCCGGCGTCCAGACATAGACCATCTACTACCTGGGATGCCGACTCCATGAAAGTCTAAAAAACAAAAATAAATAAATAAATAAATAAATAAATAAAGAGATGGTTTTGCATATAGTGACAGCATTGAATAAAATTATTTTCCATTTACACATTTGTAGCTGTTTGTCATGCAGCAAAGTATTTCATCAGCTTGTTTATGAACTTTAAATCGTAGAAAAAGTAATTTCTGCAAACAATAACTCAAATATAGTACAGTGTTGGACAGAAAAATCCCGTTCTGAATCAGTTTTGATCTAGGATCTATTCATTTTCTTAAAATGGTTTAATTACAGGGTAAGAAGGTCCACTTTTTCAGAAAATGATACCCCCCTCTCACCCTTTTGAAATTGCCGACTTAAGCCTCAGATGGTACAAGTTAGACCTACTATATCTGGTCTAAAGCATCACAGTCTGAACACATCTCTTATACAACTCACCTTGTTTGCATTACTCCCACATGCTATGAAAGATATCCTGGCTTTGTTTGATACATTTTCATTTTTTGAGTAGAGCTGAAGAGCACTCATTACTTTGTAAGTTCCCTGAAATTTAACAAGGATTGGCATGTGGATTTTATATATTGTACTATTAAACCTATCTGCTCAAAACAAGATTTTCTTATATTTAAAACATCACATCTTTAACGGAAGGATTTCAATCATATACTGCTTTCAATTCTTGCATTATTTAGTTTATTGGAAATGATAAAAGTGCAGTCAAGTTATAATTAATTCAGTAGGCTCTTTGACATCTACAGGTATTTGCCAACACAGCTTTCAATATTTAATAATTTCTTAATTGATTTAAAAACATTTGAAAACTTTCAGCCATCTTTACCGACACTGATGGTGCTGTCAAATCAGCAGAGCCAAAATCAGTATCACCGTCACTGGGGATTCCATCAGTAAATACAAGGATTCTCGACCTCACTCTGCGCCCTGCCACTCTGAGGCTCCCGGCTACAAATATGGTAAATAATTTTTAAAATCATCAATCAACCACAGCCTATACAGATGTGCATTTTTCCAGTGAGAATTGTGCAGAAAAGCAAACAAATTTTCTTTTATAAAAAATTAAGGAACAGATTTCAAGTGCACAGATCCATAAAAGTCAAGTGTACGTACTCACGCACATGCACAAACTCATGCACACAAACACACACACCCACACAAAACAAAAGAGAGATGAGAGAAATAGAGAAGAGAAAGATTCGTATTTCTATACAAAACTATTAATGCACACATTTCAATTAAAATGACAATTCTCTCTTTACATTTTCATTTTCTAGCTCCCAAATTGTGTCTGAACACTCACAGTGTCGTTGTAGTTCATTCTGTGCCTCTACCAGCCCCCGGGTCATAGGTGTCATACCCTCGGGTGTCAGAATGTCTGAAATATCGGACAAGCAAAATGTTTAAAATTATACAATATTGTCACATACCATATATTGGAATTTAAAGGAATATGACTCGTTCCTTTAACTTGCTGAAGTTGTCTATTGTGTCTACAATAAATCATACACCTTTCTGACGTTTTTTGTATTTTTCACAAATATGACTTTTTGTACTGTCTACCACTATACTATTCAATTCCAGTAAAACATGAATATAAATATACTTCAATCTTAAGATGAGCCAAGAGAAATTGCAAGGTATTGCATCCAATACTTCTATAACCAACATAAATCTTTGGATGGTTACAGAATTTTATTGTTCAAGTAGAGCATTCAAATAATGTACATACGATGAAAGCTTAAGCTCAACTGTCCTAAAAGTCCAGTGGCACTCTTGAGGTGAGGGGTGGTCCCCTTCCCTTTCATTGGTCAGTTCAGTATTAAATTATCCCCAGCCAACAATACGCAATAGATGTGATATAAATCTTAAACTTTGACNTTGTCTTCACCAGTATAACCAACATAAATCTTTGGATGGTTACAGAATTTTATTGTTCAAGTAGAGCATTCAAATAATGTACATACGATGAAAGCTTAAGCTCAACTGTCCTAAAAGTCCAGTGGCACTCTTGAGGTGAGGGGTGGTCCCCTTCCCTTTCATTGGTCAGTTCAGTATTAAATTATCCCCAGCCAACAATACGCAATAGATGTGATATAAATCTTAAACTTTGACTTTGATGTTTTAGAACTCTATCTTCATCTCCAGACGGGATCAGTTAATTGTTCCAAAACAACAATAGCTATCTATCCTGTGATGTTATCAACACACAGTGAATATAATTTAATGATCCCGACTGCAGATTAAGGTCACCATGAAGGCATTTTACTAGATATCTTATGAAATTAAAATGAGTTTCAAATTTTAAAATCATCTCTATTACACTTCTGCAATTGTCAACCACTTTCATCACTGACCCAAAGCAGAATAATTGGCTAGAAACTGAACAAATTTACATCATTTTCTTAGCCCAATTTCAATATTATTTAAAATTTGGCATTTGGTAATTGTATCTAAGACTTTTATTAAACCCTATGTACTGTGTGTGTATCTAACTTACCCAACACCCTGCGAACAGCATCATAATCATTGGTCAGAGTTAAGAGGGTGTTATCACCATGTTTCCCAAATGTCACAATGGCCACATCCTCCTCCAGCTCCTCATACATCAAGTGGGACTGTTCCATTTCTTTAAAAGATTGTAACAGTTGGTAATTTTATAATATTTGATTAAAAAGGTGAACAGTTTCTGAAGAAAGTAAAGTTTAGTGTGTTTTTGCGACCAATGATGCATCATAGTTTGACCCATCATCAAATTTAGGGCTTGGAAACCTCTCTTTAAGCATTGCAATTTACATTTTTAACATTATCATTGAAAAGAAACAATAATAAACTATCTCACTGTATATAGTGCACATATGAATATGACAATTATAAATATATTCCTCATAACTTTTTTACCTTAAAAAACTTTAGGAAGCACTGTCTGGCTTTCCTAATGATGCCAACAAAATTTGATAGTTTTCTCATTCATCCATCAACCTGTCCTTTAAAGCTAAATGTTAATACATACCATCTAATATCATATTGATAGCAGTTTTCATCTGTGTAAATGCCTCTCCTGTCATACTCCCAGATGTATCAATACAGAAGACCGTGTCCAAGCCATTGGACTTTCTCTTGAATAAACCACCTGTAAAGTAACCATGATGCATCATTTTATAACAGAACTAGAAAGCAATCTGAGAACACAGACCCATGCACAGTGAAAAGGTAATAGAAATAATTAAAATAAAAAATATTATGAGAGCTTGACTCAATGGAAAATGTAACCAAATCTTTCCCATCTGAATTACTGTCAAGTATGAGAATTTCATCAAAATATATAAAGAACTTTTTGCACAGTCTTGCACACTTTTTCGTATGATGCCAGGAAGTGCCTCCAGCCTCTTTTCAGGTAATCTCTGATTTCTGTTAGCTGTGCAGAAATGTAATCTAGCTTCCAATTAATCATTCTTGAATATGAAAAAAGAAAACCTATAATAAATCTGACAAATTAAAAAAAAAAAACAGCTTTAAATGGTATATCAAATTTTAAAAGTTAAATTAACAAATAACACAATTTATATTTTGATTTGGTGGGAAAATCCTGGATAGGATCCCTTCAGTTCAAAGTATATACACACCCCTTGGATTGTGCTGTCTAGGTAAATCGATGGCATTTCTATACGTCTTGTCTTCCTCTTGTTCCTTACCAGATGGCATGGCTACTGCTCCCAGCTCACCACCAGGTGGCATAGCTACTGCTTCCTGCCCACCAACAGGTGGCATAGCTACTGCTCCCTGCTCACCAACAGGTTCCATAGCTACTGCTCCCTGCTCGTCACCAGGCGGGACATCTACACCTTGTTGCCAACCACAAGATGGCGTGGTAGACCCTCCTTTTTTCCCTTTAGATGGAGTACCTACATAAATTTGGAAGTTACCTGATGCATTTTGCTTATCAGTGGATATATATCCACTTGCTTCACCATTATATTTGCTCAAAATCTGTTGCACCTCTGTTACCAACATAGTATCATCTACTTTCAAATTTCCCTTCGCAAGTTCCTGACAAATCCTTTCAAAGACATCTTTAAAATAATCTACTTCCTTTTGTAGTCTTGTAATTGTTTTTCCACAAGACATGAATTCGAGTTCTTGTTCTTTGCTCAATGGTTTGCGACCCAAGGTATCTTCTACTGCCGTTTTGAAGGCCAGTGCTTTATATTCTTCGTCCTCTTTTTCTTTGCTTAGCTTAGAAAGCAAATCAGCTTGAGACTGCAGTTGTTCATTAAGGACTTTGATTTTGGCATCTGCTGCCCTGATAGAATGCTCTAATCCTTTAATTTCTTCAGTACTTTCCTCGTTTTCCCTTCTTAGGCCATTAATTTCTTGATCCTTTGCTTTCACTTCATCTCTCAGGTTTTGGCATTCTGTTTTCACAATATTTATAGTGTTACACTTCTCTTGGAGTGCATGTTGTAACTGCTCATTTTCCCTTGAAATTTCATCTCCAACTTGGAACACCTCCTGTTCTCTTGAAGCAACTGGTATATTTGCAGCATTCATCATGCGAGCAATCTCTTCATTTTTCTGCAGAAGCTCTATTTCAAGATTTCCCAACCGTTGGCTTAATGTCTCTACTTCCCTAGTTTTATCTTGCAGCTGATTGGTCACTTCAGTCTGATCACTCACAGCAGTCGAAAGCATCATCTGCGTATTGTTCCTCATAATTTTTATCAAATCTCTCAGTCTATCCAACCGAATATCTTTGTCTGAAAAATCCCCAAGTTCTGTGTGAAATTTCTGTTTCAGAATTGGGATTTTGTCAAGGTAGCCCTCCTCAAAGGCCATTCTCACCAGGTCCCGTGGTGTGGCGTCTGAGAGCTCTTTATCGGTGAGCAGAAAATGGTATGGGGCATGGGTGAGGGTCCCCTGAGCTTGTCGTCTGCCATCACAGATATCATCATCATACTTAGAGACAGTAGGGGCAGCATCTGTGAATGAGAATGATGATAAAGATTTAAAAATAGGATAAACAGTCTTTGGAGGTACATAATATAAATAATATTTATTTTTATGATCATTATCTTCATTCTATTAAATAAATGTAAACATTCAAATTTAATTTTGAGACAGAATTGAAAGACTGTTGTAACAGATTTCTTTTACCTCGAAGCAGGCGGCGCCTGGCAGCCATATAAGTAGGCCAATCCATGGATGTCCTCAAGCTAAGCCTCAAATCTTCACCATGCACCATTGCCCTCACTTCATCCGTCAGTATGACATCAGAGAGTGCTTCAGAGAGAGGAGATGGGTGGCTGCTATGACACCATGCCCAAAAGTTGTCCAGCTGTTCAACATTCCAGAACTTAAGATCCATGATAATACTGCCCTGGCGTATGTTCTCAGCATGTAAGTCCAAGTAGGACAGTTTTTCCTGCAAGGCATTGCGCATTTGGGGTAGCTTCTGATGGATCTCATCTTGCACATGACACAAAGGTTTTGATTCTGCCATGTCCTCGGCTATTTGCTGTGCAATTTCTGTTACCAATTCAGAGCAAATAATACCTGATATAAAAAAATATTCATAAACATTAATTTAAAAAAATTATTTCTATAATGTCTTTAAACATGATACTTTGAATTATGAAGGGCATATGCTAGAAATAATAAACAATGTTTCTGCATTTACACATAACATAAGAAATATTATTTGTACAGTAACAGTCCGTGCTTTTTTATATAATCTCTGTATTCAGATCCAATTATCTGTAACAGTGATATGCAATAGTCTTGATGAATCAAATATTATTTCTATAGAATACAACAATTAGGTACATTGTAGGCTGTAGACTTGGATCAAGAGTATATACTCACTCAGCTTTTTGTCAAGTGCATCTGCTAAAAATTTTTTGGGGGGCTCAGATTTCAAAAGAGCCCTCCGAAAGTCCCAAAATGCTTTTTCCTTTTTTCTTGGTAGTATTTTCTCTAAAAAGTAGCAAATCTTCTTGTGATGGGTTGAGAGGGAGTCCAGATTTTCCACATCCACATCAGTAAGAACACAGTCTTCATACAGGTAAGGTATGAGAGGGTCAAGTTCCAAATCTTTAATCAATACGAGTCTACAGTTAATCAAAATATTCTTAGACCTCTCTGTCATAGGACCTAAAATTTTAAAAATCAGCATTAAATCAAATGTGATTGTGATAAATTTAATTCACAGTACAGCTGGTTGTAACTTACAGTAATTACAAATTTGACTGTGAAACTGCTGCTCACAACAACAGATTAATACAATCACTCTTTTTCCCACAAATATACGAAACATCCTTGCATTTATTCTAAGACAGAGCAGCCTAAAATATGATATTCGTCTCACACAATTAAGCTCATGATGTTCAATTTTCTTGTCTCAATAAAACTGCTGTAAGTATTACAGGAAGAGGAAGATATTATGCTAACAGGGAAAAAAGAGCTCACCAAGGTTGAGTATGTCCTTTAACTCATTATTACATGTAGGATCACCAGTGGCACAGGTTCTGGAAAAAATACCTTGATTTTCAAATATGTGCATTACATTGAAACTATGAAATTCATCACATCCATAAGCTAAAGCTTGATAACACATGTACTTTAATATAAAACACAACACTTATCACAACTATCAAAAAGCAACACTTATCAGAACTATCAAAAAGCACATGTAACACTACCAAAGGCCATCCATTTGCAGGGGGGAGTGGGCCAAATGCCTCCCTTCCCTTAGCTAAGAAGTACCCCATTCTTCCCATCTTCCTCCTCAAAAAGGCATAACAAGCAAAACAAGACAGAATCAAGTAATTTTTCCATCCCTGTAACATATTGTCATTGTCAGTGGAGTCTCCCGCTGACAATATCATCATCTAGTCTTAATGAATGTTTAGCAAACATGACAAAATTTTATCCAAGTGTCACCCTCAGCAAAATATTGAATATGCCATCAAATGTCCCCTACCCTACTTTATGATGACAAACCCTTACCCTTCTGGACGAAGCTGTTGATCTGTTGTCTCGGGCATATATTTATCCTCTCTGGGATCTAATTGTCTTTCAGCTGACCTGGGAATGCAGGGAGGCAATTCTTGTTGAGAAGAGACATCCCAGCTCGCTTCATCTGGCAACGCAGTTATTGTCTGGAATCAAAGAATTATATCAAAGAATAAAGTGCTCTCAAAGAGTGTAGGATAATGTCAAGGACAATGGAAGTAAAAATTTATTTTGAAAAAAAAATCAGAAGACCCATACTCAATTCAAACTGTCATCACTTCTTTCCCTCTGGAAGAATTTCACCAAAATATGTGAAATTTTTTTAATTATTATCTCATACACCAATCATTGTTCCCAATACAAATATGCTACCTCTTTCACTAAAAGATGGCACATTATGATCTATTGACATGGTGGTGGAGTGTGGAATATATTGGAACCAGGCATTAGCTTTTGTCCTTTACCTTGCTGGTCAGTAGATCAGGTACTGGACCACCTCCAGAGGCAAGCCAAGTAACACCACCACTGGCCAACATTTCTGAAACAGAACATTTTCTATTAAATTTTACTGTAATATCTGATCACTTTCATTTCACTATTCTTAACATATAGTAGGAGTCTATTTCCCAAACTGACATAATTTATATAACTGAAAGATGCACCATTTATTCATATTTGGTCTCATTCAGGTACATAAATTAAAATTTATTTCAGCTGCTCATTCTCTATAATAAAAAGCAAGAAGAAAATCTAACATTTATTTTTCACTGTTACATAAGTGAACTATACTGTAGTTTTGTAGTTTGGGAATTAATTAATTATTTATTTATTTATTTATTTATTTATTTATTTATTTATTTATTTATTTTATTTTTTTTTTATTTATTATTTTTTTGGGGGGTAGCTACTGACCATTACCTTGCTGAGAAGATGTCTCATTGAAGAAGCTTTCATCTCCACATGCCTTCCACTCATCCAGTAAACCCTTTATTTCAACCACATCCTTTCTCAATTCCTGGATACCTTGTTTTAGACTCAAAATGTCACGTTCCTGTGCTTCTCTTTTCATGTTCTGAGATATACCTGTCAGCAAATATAAAAAAATTAACACTTGTCAGTAAATAAGAGATTCAAAATAAAAGATTTAATTTAACATTTTGTTTTTATTACTATGATATCACAGACAAGAAATGTTTAATTCACAAATGAAATTAACTGTCACTTCTCACCATTTTGGGCTTCTCCATGTACTAGTGAGCTTTCACTTTCATTTTTTTACTCATTTGTTTGTCAGTCTGTTTTTAATCATTTCAATTCACCAGTTTCTACAAACGAATGTTAGCTTATCACCTAATAAACTTGTTTGATTCATTGTGATACCAAAAACTGGCCTTTTTGCCTTTACAGAAAGTGACATTTGAAAGTGCTTTCTAAATTATGATGACTCACCCTCTACTTCGTCCCTAACACCTTGCACTTCTTCCTTCACATTTAAACAATCTTCTTTTATATTAATTATTTGACCGTCCAATGTTTCAACATAAGTCCGTAGGCTGTCTACTGACCCTTCAAGCTGGTTGAGTTTTTCAGAGGTTGCCTGTTTTTGGGATCAAAAAATAAATTATTGTGAATAGGAGATTAGGCCAACAAAATTTATATATAAAATTATTGAGAGAAACATCAAAGGAATGAAAAATATATGAGAATACTTTAATGATAAATTATTTATGGGTGCAATCATCTGAAAATAGGCTTTTAATTTAGAATAATTAAAAATTGTATTTACATCAACTAACCAAAGAAACTTACAATTCAGACCATGTTTGCCTTGCATATTTCAGTGAAAAACACTAATGTTTTCATATTTCATAGTAAATTTTTTAAAAAGAAAAATTATATCAAAATGCTTCAATCTACAGGTCACATTTTTCATTCCAAATAAAAAGTTACTGAACTGCTCGCTGTAAATTTCATGACTTTATACAGTTTATATCAAACTGTACAGAACAATTTAATTGCAAAAACATGAAAATCCATGTAGGAATTCTAAATCCATCAAAATGAAATTTGTACCATCTTTTAAGTGAAATTCAACAGTCTCTACTAGTATTACCATAACAAAAGAGACTCAAATTCATGTACTAGAGAAAAACCCAAAAATTGGTTAATGGAACTTAATTCTATGACAGTACATCCACCCGTAATTTAATATATCGGTGATTATTAATTTTAAAAAATTGGAAATTTCAAGAAATAAATTAAACCTATTGCATAGAAGAATTAACTCATAATAACATTCTATGTGTGACCTCACTCATATACACTGTATATGAAAGCCAGTCAATACCTCTCCCCCTCCACCGTCTCTAGCCGCCAGAAGCTGTGCAAAAAAACTTGAGTCTCCGTCCCTGTGGGCATTAGCCAGTCTCTGGGCCAGCATCAGAGGAGGGGTGTGCTGTAATAGATCATTAACATTGATAACACATACAGTACTTCTATAGTACTTTCAATTCAACAAAATAACATTATTTTGTTAATTAGAAAGTTTTTTTTGGGAAATCCAACAATCACATTTAAATTGACAAACAAATTAAGAATAAGGATTAGCTAGAGATCGATTCTTTCTGAACTTGATGAGGGACAATATTGTGCTACAGGAATATTACTGAAATCATGAAATCATTTTTAATTTTCATTATAAAGCACATAAATATCTGTGTGTGTGTGTGTGTGTGTGTGTGTGTGTGTGTCAGAGAGAGGGAGAGAAAGAGAAAAAATCTTCCTACACGTCCCGACATTTCCTTCTTTCGGTTTTCTTCGAAATTAGCTCACGTGGCTGAAATGATAAAATTAATATGGAATCTCTTAATCAATCCATTATTACACAGGATTTTATACATGTACTTTCTACGAATATTCCCTTTCGGAGCAACGGGATGCATTCACAAGGCGCAGTTTATTTACACAGGTTATAGTACTGTAACGGGGTAAATATAGTGCCGGTGTGCATAAACCGGGGTAACGTCGGGGAAAAGAAACATGGCGGCGTAGCAGACGCTGAGCAGCTTGTGCACTGCTTAGTAGCTTATATATCGTTAACCTATTAAATTTATGAAAAAGAAAGCACAGCGTTGTTGTACTGGATTGCTGAGGAAGTGCACCGCTACAAAATTGGCGCCCAAAAGCGGGGCACGAAGGCTGGAGAATTCACGGACCCATTGCCTGGCAAGTTGCAAACGACACTGAATCTGAAAAGCGGCGCACGTTATGTTATAATGTGTTACGTGTTATTTAATTGCCAAACAGACTTTGGTGAAGACTCTGACAGTCCTTGTTATTAGATTTA